ATACAAACATCTGCAGACGGAAACTCTAAACCTGCCTTATCCTTTATCAAAGTTAAGTGAATAAAAACACTACTGAGTTATCAGACCGCAGAATCAATATTTTCTCACCAGGGTCCCTGAATGTTGAGATGTTTGTCAAGGGATAAATCCCCTTGAGCAACTATGGTAATGATTTTATTTAATTTAAGGAGACAAAAAAATAGAAAGAAATGAAAGAAGCTGAAACAGATTTGAAAGTTTGTTATTCTCCTTATAAGTCACAATTCTTGATACAGTCGACATTGTATTAAGAGACCACTTAAGGGACTGACAAAAAGTGGTCTCTTAATAAAGTGGCCTCTCAATAGAATTCTGGAAGATTCGATACTTTTTTATTTTACAAGTCATAGATAATAGCATTTTCAGCAATTAGTTTTTTCAAAACATTTAGGTTTTAGAGATCTTAGATTTTTTTGTCGAAGGGTCATATTTAATGGGGTACTACATGTATTTTATAAAGCATCAGATCGATGAGCACCTACACCATCAGCAAGCTCGGTTCTGTAATGTTTAGTCCACTACGTTTCATGATTTTATTTCGACTCTACAAACGATGACATTTGCTATTTACTCAGACTCAATTCCATTCACGATTTCCTCATTCAATTTATCCGGTATTATTAGTTGTCTGTCATTTTTTTCGCTCGTTCCGACGTCATTTTCGATTTAATTTTCTGGAAGGGAGGTCACTATGAGCACATGACAAAACTGTGCCAATGCGGTGTTGTGAAACGTTATTGCTCTGACAAAATATGTCACAATAAAACTGTTTTTGGAACGATTGCAATTGTTATTCAATTCGTTTTTAAACGGCAATTACTTGTGATGGTCTAATTGACGGCCAATGACCATGAAAAATGTTTGTTTGTTTGTTTGTACACATCAAACCTACTCGCTAATTACACAGGTGAGAATGTCCGTAGGGGCAATTGTTTGTCACGGCCGTTTAATAGATACTTGAACACTGAATTTTGTACATTTGGGCCGACATTTAGTGGCCGCTGGCCGCGATATAAAATCGTCGTTTAATGGAATTAACTTATATAGTAAAAATCATCGGGAGGGATTTTATGCGGCCGCTTAATAAAAAAGTCGCTAAATAAAGGTGGACGCAAGTACGATGCCGACTGTACTCTGACAGTTTTTCCATTCTATTTTTTCTACATAGTGAGCCGAGATAAAAAATGTGCAATTTTTTATCTGTGCATTAGAGAAAAAGTGAAAAATATGTAGGGAGGGGGTGGGGGTATTTTAAAGAACTTTAAGTTTTGGACTGTTCCTGCCGTGCACTGCATGAATCTTTAATTACTAGGAATTTGAAGATCCAACTCCTGGCTTAATTCCCCTTTTATGGTTGGAGGATGCCTGAGTCCTGGTTACAATTGAGTTGTGTGTTATTATGTCTTGTCCAATGTAGCATGAGTGGCAATGAGGTGTGCAACAGATTAATCTTCATCCTGACATAAACAACTGATCCAAGGTGGGAATTTATGCTAGCAAATTGTAATTAAGTAATTGAACAAAGGCACAATAAATGGTAAATAAAAAAAGTTAAACAAAAACCAAAGAATCTATGAAAAAAGATTATTCTCAAAATTTGACCACTTTCAGGCAGCATTAGATCCCAATTAGTGGAATTGTCTTCTTGCACAGGATGTGAACTTCCTTCCTAAACTCTTGTATAAACAAAATATTCAGTGTATCTGTATGGAGTGTCAGAGTATTGACATGTTGAAACTCAATCTCTTATCTAATTACAAGTGAAAATGACTCCTTGTGTAGCAACTCAAGTGCACATGACATTAGCTATAGTGAGTGATAGAACCTGTTTCTGTATTTTTCCTCCTGATTTTTTTTTCAGCCAATTGTTTTCTCCCATTATTTCTTCATGATGATAATTAACGTCAATGAGAAGTATTAAGTGAGAAAAAATCTCTAGAAGCTAAGAGAGAACTGTCATTGAGGAAAGTAATTGATGAATTTTTAGATTCACAGAAAACAGAGTTTTTTTTTGGACTGGGGTATGTTAGATTAAAATTAAACATGCAATGCTTTACTTGAGCCTTATGGACTGGAATATCTGCATGCATGCTGGTCCAGTGCCACTGTTAGCATTTGGAATGAAGTGTCATTGATGTTTGCACAGTTGTGATTTTAAGCCGGGCTCTTTTAGTGTCCTTGAACTTAAACTCTGGTACCAGTCTTATAATTTATGATTGTTTTATGAGAAATTGAGAACTGAATTTGAAATGCTTGTATGGAAATTTGAATGTCAGACTGTCTGTATATATTTATGACCTTACCAACTATTGACTGTATGATGTCCGGTAAACGAAATAGGTAGAGCATTGGACTGTGAATCAGACGACCTGGGTTTGATTCACTGACGATGCAGTTCATTTTCATTGTGATTAATCATGGTATCCCTTCTATTATTATTCGAACTGTACTTCTGCTCTAGCTGGCATGTACTGGAGTTAACAGTTCCTTATGTGAGAGTGAAAATAACTAGTACTCCAGGTAAACAGTTTGACAGCCTGGTTGAACTGTGCTCTGGTAAATTCAATGTGGCTCCTTGTCATGATCTGGAGTGTAATTTACTAAACTTACCCAACACCACCATGACACCACTTTTATTGACGATTATTTGAACTCTGTTAGAACTATATTTTTGTCTTTGACAATCTTGTTTGACTGCTTACACGTACTATTAAGGCATGGGGTTTATTCAATAATGTGACATATAATACAGTCATGATCTTGTCACATAATGCTACTGGTTAAACTTTGGGTATACCAGTAAATTACGTTCTTTTAGAACTCGGGGGGGGGGGGGGGGTACAAGTTTGTGTAATTTAATGACCAGAGTATAGGAACTCTGGGAACTTGTAGCTACATTGAGGAATGCTTGTATAAACAATTAATATCTGTATGTCTTATTATTTATGTGATTTACCATCTGTTACTGATGATGCATGAATCTGACATGAGCCAACTATTTGTACAGGTGTAGCGAGATATATCTTGTCTTGTAAACATGGAGATATTTTGGTTATATGATTGATACAGTTGATTTCTTGAAAAAGGTCAAGATATACAAGTGTATTGATCAGTGTAGATTATTCTACTAAGCTTCTGTAAGCAAGGGTCAAAAATTGTGATTTTTCACTTGGGGACTGTGGCATCATTTGTGTAGATGATAAACTCCTTTAAAAGATTTTTAAAAATAACTGACATTTGTTAACTAGTTTTTGAAAATTATTATCTTGGTAATGCCTGATACAGTATCGGTAAGGCACGATTATTGATGTAGCTACTCTTTCAGTATGATGATATTCTTGTTTTATGCATAACAATTGTAACATGCCCTTAAAGAAACTATAATGTGTAAAAAGCATGAAGACCATAATATAGTGTTATTGCTAATATTTTGATTGATGGGACATAATTTGTTTTAACAGAAAACTTCTTAATTGGTTTGTTATATAATGAGAAAAACAGACAACCAGACAATAATCTGCAATATAAGTGCCCTGGATGTATGTTGTGCATAATTAAAACACCAATTACCATGAAAATGGTTAGGGCTTGCAAATTTACCAGAAATGAAGCAAGGATTGACACTTACGTGCTGACATCTGAGGAAAGCCACCATATATTTGCCGCGTTACGACAAAACCAACATAATCGGTTTGCGAACAGGAGGGATCTAGACAAGTCAGCGTATCCGCGCAGTCTGATCAGGATCCATGCTGTTCGCTATCAGTTTCTCTACTTGTAATAGGGTTTGTAAGCGAACAGCATGGATCCTAATCAGACTGCGCGGATGATCAGGCTTGTCTGGATCCATGCTGGTCGCAAACGCACTATGTTGGTTTTGTCGTGACGCGGCTCAAATATTTTGATTCAATAATCTATATTAATGTATTTGTTTACTTTTGAATGTGGTTGTCCATAAACCTTGCAGAATTATTTGTTATTTATGAGGTTTACACTGTAACAGTAAGTTGCCAAGTTTCAGCGGGGATGACCCTGTCGGACTATTTTACAATTATGTATATACAGATTGCAGAGCATCCATACACAGAGACTTTGGTTCTTAAGGTCTCATTGGAAAGAGTATAAGTGTGTTTATTGGAAATGTGTAAACATTGGATCACAGATATGTTCCATGAAAATGAACGAACCTGTGATTTTATCTTTTGATGACAGACAATTTTAAAAACGCTTTTAGCACCATGTTCATATTCATTGAACATTATGTTCAGCTCCACCAGATCATAGAATTATGTTTATAAAATATATACATTAAATCCACCATATATTCAATATATAGGCAGACAGATGTTAAAAACTGATAAACATTCCTAGAAAATTTTTCTTCCATGTTTACTGTGGAGTTGGGGAAAATATGTTTATCTTGAGCGGACAGATTTGGAGGGCTACAATATAAATACTGGCTCAAGTCTGCAAAATATGTAGTCAGTTTCTAGAAAAAAACCTATCTTATCTAGAAATAATCATTGAACAGGAGGCTTACATCAAAATGATTCCAAGTTTGAGATTTTTACATCTGAAGAAAGTCTTTTAATACATGAAAAAGTGTTCCTTGGTTTTCAGGATTTTGCCATCTTTATGTGTTGCCATGTTGTAGTAGTTTTTTGTTTTTTTTTTTCAATAAAAATAAATTTGTGAATGATTGTTTTATACAAAATCTTAATGAAAAGTTTACTGCATGATTTTATGAAAAGTAGGGTAGCTTTCCAGTTTCCAGCAGATTGCAAGACAGGTATGGTAGCTTGGTAGCACCACTATAACAAATCTTCAAAAGGGTAAGGTGAAATTTGCACTTGCTACTGTCAGATTAATACTACACAAATCACCATAATACAATGAACTTATCTAGCGATGGATTGAGGATTTTGACACAATTTTATCGTTAATATTATTTATATTTTCAGTTTGTGAATCCGGAACAGTCAGGGTATGTTGGTTTTGCCAATCTCCCGAACCAGGTTCACAGAAAGTCTGTGAAGAAAGGATTCGAGTTCACACTCATGGTTGTTGGTAAGCTATCTTTTATATTTCACAACATTTTCGCTTCTTATATAATTTTGTAAGTCACAATCACTGTAAATGGCATTGGCGACTTAATTAGTTTTCTGTATTATTGGCGGAAGAAGACCTCAGTGCCCCTTGGCATATTATTTTAGGAACAAACTGGCACCTAAGTAGGACCACCTACTTTCCGTAAGCTTGCTGGAAAACTTCCTCACATAAAGAATAAAGTCCTATACAGGATTGAACACACAGTGGTGATGAAGCCATAATGGTCTAAATCTCAAAATGAGCCCCTCCACAGAATGATGCCACTATAAAAATAGCTGATCTAGGAACTTAAGAGAAGTGTTTCATGTTATTGCCAACCTGAAACTGTGACATTTTGGCGAAACATGACTTGTGCTTTCCTGGACATTTAGTAGACAAATGATCATTGTGAAGGCCTATTACTGTCTTGAAATAATCCAAAGACTGGCAGCTTCAATTTTATTCTATGTATTGTGAAAGCTTCAAAATTGCCCTTTTAGTTTGAACTTTTGTTGTTTTGTTGTTTAATTGCAATGTGACCAAAAAAATGCACATTCAAAAATGCACACTAAGTAAATAACTTCAAAATTATGATTGTATCATTTATATATGAACAATGATAAAATTGTTTCAACAGTATAATTGAATGTTTGTTGATGATGCTAAAACATGATAAGTCATGTGCAATGAGATGGGGAGATGCAGTTATTTTGTTTTTTTTAAAACCGTTTCATTTTTACATTACTCAGCTTCTGCGTAGCCACTTTCATTTACCACTTCAGCCTCTTGTTTACATAATTTCCTGGTATACATGATCTAACAAGTTTCACAAGAAGTAGCACAAGTTTATGCAAACAGAGCATGAAATGCAAGGTCTCAGACACTCATGCATGTTGCAAGTAGAGGGTGCTGTTTTCTGTTTTCAACAATATGTTGTGATTTATATTGTTCCATAAATACATTTTATTATAGCAATAAGGTACTTTATTGAGGCAATGAAAAAGCAGCAACATGGCATTATGTTGCCCTACTTTATATTTTGCAAGTCAGCATTTTTTTGCTTGATTAATATTGTTTACAATTTTTTTTTAAGTTTCTGTTTTATTAAAACATTTGATAATGTTATCTAGAATTAGAACAGTATGGCTTTCTAAGATTTCGATGAATTTGTCTAAGCCATCATTTGTCAATTATAATTCGTATGTGGTTTTATGAAGCAATTTGTGACTTATTCAAAAAACTTTAAATGGATAAGATATGCCATGTACTTTTCTATAAGAATTTAGGAATATGTCTGGCAATATGCTATTATACGCTAATTTCATGCCTCATTTCTGTTTTGTCAACTTCAGTTCATTTAGATGAGACTTTCCTATCACAATCAATTGTCTGTCAACTTTCCAATCTGTCTGCTATTGATTACTATCAATCATTAGTCATCATCCAACTTGTGTAAATCATCATTAAGCCTTTCATGCTCAGTCATTATCTAGTCAAATGGCTTCATTAAAATATGAAGCTATAATCTTTGTTAGAGAATGGGGCCCCTAAAATTGTTGAAAAGTGGCGGATTTCACAGGCATCTTGTGACTTGCACCTAACCTTTTGGGGTTCAAATTCCCAACTCATGCATTGTATTTTTTCAAGTGGGAAAGTTATCCAGATAGTCCACAGAAAGTAGGACAATGCCAGTTCTTGTCATGCATTATGCTTAAGACTAAAATAATGCATAACCACCTCCGTGGTCGAGGGGTAAAGTTGATGACTTCTAATCCAGTTACCTCTCTGGAGTGGTTTCGATCCCCGGGAGATGCTTTGGTAGTTTAGCGTGGAGGAAGGTAGTCTAGTACTGGTGTAACTCTCCAGGAACGATGGTTAGGAAACTACCCGCCTATATGACTGAAATACTGTTGAAAAAGGCGTAAAATGAAACAAACAAACAAACAAAATAATGCATAGAGGGTCATCTTCAAGCTCTGCCTCCAACAGAAAAACAGTAATTTGGCCATAAGACCAATAATTTTTACAGGGCTGGCAATATATGATTTTGACTTTATACTTGTTCATTTTACCTAAAGAATAATCTTTACTTTTCGGAATGGTATTTATAAAGAAGATTCTGGAAACAAAATCACTTGTCCGAACAGGCTGTGGGCAATACCTGGGCAAGACAGAAATTTGATTTTGCCACCCCTGTATTATATTGTTCCCTTGGTAATAATGTCTTTAAAAAATTAACCAAAAAAGCACCCCTCCCCTCAACCCTCTCCCACATCCCCCTTCCCCACTTAAAAACCTCCAATACCACCAACAACTTAAAAGTCAAAACAGAAATAGACAAAGAACAAGATCAACGTAATTCCCTGTCTGTTGCAGTCAAAAAATGCATCCATTAATTGATGGGAAAATCTTGATAAGACACTCAGTAGTGGAGGAGATGTGTATCAAGAACTGCTTGAATTCACGCAATAATTGAATGTAGATGCTCAAGTCAGATAACTTTTATCTGCATTGATTTATTGTGTATGATATCTAAGTAATATCTAAGTAATATCTAAGTAATATTTACATTATTTTGATAACCTAAATTTGATGTCTAAATTTGTTGTAGACAAATTACACAAATTACATTATTTTTCTTTACATATGTTTTTTACAATAATGAATGAGATTTAAGAAACTAATGAGATTTCAGAAGATCTGTTTTTGATTTGGTTGTTGGAGTACAATGTAAATATTGTTGTTCACTAATGATGATTTGAATGGAGTTTTGGCATCCTGTTGGTTTACTGAATGAAAATGTTTGTTTTTTAAAAAAACAAAACAAACAAAAACAAAACAACACAACCCCCCCATTCTGCCCATCACAGGTAGCTAATGGTGATTCAGCAGTGTTAATGCAGAGCAGTTTTCTTTTCAATGTTCATCTACTGTGCCAATAGTTAATGGACATATGCATATAAATTAGTAAATACACCTCACATAGATTTTTTAAACCAGACGTTTACCTCAATCGATTACAGTGCGAGACTTGTAATCTCGACATTGTGAGTTTGATTCCCGAGCTGCCTAACCAAAATTACTTATCAATCTTTCAGATGTGACTTTAAAATTGACCTATTGATTTTTAATTTAATTCTCCCAGAGTATATTTTGTTATTATCTAGACTATGCAGATATTTCCATTTTAAGTGGATCACTTGATATATGTAAAAAATTCAAATTTTATATTTTAAGACTTTTTGGCTTCAAGAGAGCTACTTTTAACATTTACTGGATATTATGAATGTTTATTTTAACAATGCATTAATATGTATTTTCAGGAGAGTCTGGGCTGGGTAAATCAACATTAGTTAACAGTTTGTTCCTGACAGATCTCTACCCAGAGAGACTGGTACCTACAGCTAGTGGTAGGTACATTTATATAAAGTTATTGAGCTGGGTACCAAGGCTTTGAATCTTTAAGTTTAGAAACCAGCCTGTGTGTGAGATATTATCCTAACCAAAAGTGATAAGCCTTTGCCACACCAGCTTAGAACCATGCCAGCTTGCTATTTTGTGCAGTCTGACCAGGCTGTGCTGTTGGCTGACCTACTTCGAATTTTCATCTTGATATCTCCAAAATATATAATGATCAGTTCTAAGAATGGAAACTGGACAGGTCTATTACATGAATTCAGAAGGTTAAGGGATTATCACCGGTTTAAAAGGAAAACATGTTTATTCTTTAATAGGAAAACATGTTTATTCTTGTGAGACAGCTATAAAAGAGCTTTTTGAAAGCCAGTGCTCCTATAAAAAGTAATTTCTTATCCACATAATTATAATGTACAGAGGATTTTTTCAGGTCAGCTTGCATCAATGAAGCTGGAAATTCATCATACACCCTTCATATTGTTGGTTTAATTGCAGTTTAGTGAAATGCATAGATGTTTTAATCGTTACAAATGTCAAACCTAATGTCAAATAATTGTGACAATTTTGAATTGCCAGTCTCATCAAAATGCATGTATAGTCACAACTACAGCTATTCTGAACATAATTGCAACTTTTAGATTAGCTTATACGAATTTATTTTAGTATGAACACTCTCGTATCAGTTCCTGGAACCAATTAGTACTAAGGAATTGAGTGTGAAGTTTCCTGCTCACAGAAGCAACGGTGGTTGGGCCCTGAAGGAGTTTGAACCCACGTAAATCCTTAGATTACTAGTCAGATGCATTAACCATTCAGCCATGTCGCCATTCAACTTGTGCGTTTGGTTATTGACTTAATTCCTTCAAACTTATATTGGATACTTTAAACAAGCCGCTGATTTCCATAATTTGGCAATGTAAATGGTTATAAATATCAGGAAGAACAAGTAAATAGTTCTGTTGCCGGTCTGGTCTGGTCTGGGCGGAGAGAAAAAAAAAAAAGTTGTTTATTTTTTTAAAATATATTATCAACAGCTTTATCACATGAGTGAGGAGTTAAAATGTTTCATTATTGTGACACTTTGCTACCTATACCCCCATCAAGATACTTGCTATTATCTTCTGTTTTGAACTATGACTCATATTTCCTTACAGTGACACTGTTTTACAACCTGAGTGTGATTTGATGTGTATAAAATGTTGTTCAGTTTTACTTGATGTATTTCTCGAGTGGTTGCCAAGGTTTATGCATACAGATTTATCTATATCAAGATTGTTAGTGAAAACAGGAACAAGATTTATATACTGTCATATTTGATTAAGGAAATATAGTGAAGAATATTGTGTAAGGTTAGCTACAGATATGGTTGAGTGTGTTAAAAATACCATAAATCAGTGAAAATACAGATTTATATTTCACCCATAGCTGTGATATGCTTGAGTTCTATGAAATATGTATAAGCGTGACTATTTAGGTGCCAAAATGAAACTGTCACAGAGACCAAGCAATGAAAGGCCCGCCACTGATTCATTAAATATGACATCTGGGAATGTTAGGGAAATAAATAGTGACAGTTTGCAAGAAATTGCCTTTTTTTTCAAGGTCGGCAAAATCAATTGTCTGTATTGCCCAGGTATTGCCCACAGCCTGTAGAGTCAAATGGAAATTTAATTTTAAAGTATTAAATATATATAAATATCATACAGGCTATTTAAGAAATGCTTCAGATAAAAAAGTTAAGTCAAAAATAAATTTTGCTGACACTTCAAAGTTTATCCTGGAGGGTGAGGTTGGGGCCAGGACCACAAATTACAGGTGCAATATCAGTATCATTATGGTACACCAATATTTATCTGATGTAGATGACCTTAGAATATATATCTCAATTTTGTCAGCATATTTTGTGACATAAAATAAGTTTAAATTTTTCTATATTTCAGAGAAGATTCAACAAACTGTAAAAATAGATGCCTCAACTGTTGAAATAGAAGAACGAGGGGTCAAGTTACGATTGACTGTTGTGGACACACCTGGATTCGGCGACTCATTAAATTCTGTAGACTGGTAAGAGTAAAATTTCAAATTTACTAGACTGGACCAGAAATTTTTGTATGAAATGTGATAAAAGAACAAAATTTGGTCACAGTCTGGTGATTTCAGTTATGCTAAAAATAAATAGTTAAAAAGCATGTCTATGATACTGCAGTAAATTGTCCATATTTAGCAATTATACATAATAATTGTTATGCAAAATGTAATTCTTTTTGATATTTATGAATATTATCATGAATATTATGTTGAGAAATTATTATTTAGAAACATTTTTTGAATAAGACTGAAGCCTCCCAAGTTCTCCTGTACATGTGAAGTTCTTTATTTGTATATCTTAAAGATCATCTGCCATGTACTGTTTCAAATACATAGAAAGTTTATTTACTTATGAGTAGATTATTGTATATACTGAACCTGTCACCTAGTACAAATGTATCTGTAATGACCAGTAGCTTATTTGGACCATTTTCTATAATAAGGGTCCAAGGTTATTAAGAAATTAACTAATAGGTATTTGATTGAGTGTACCCTGACCAATGAAAAACCTGAGGTTGTAGACAGAAACTGGACAGAACTCTGAAAAAAAGTTTTATAACCTTGACACCTCTTCTTGTGTCAAATGCGGCAGACTATTGTTGGGCTCAAACCAATGATCCCTGGTTTAAGTGGCATGCAGACTCCTTAACCACTAGGCCACCAATCCCTTCATCCTTTTATGTCTTACCACTTAAGAAAAACTGTTCATTAAACGCTGTAGTTTATTAGCTTGATTGTGTAAGGCCTATGGGCCTCCATGGCCGAGTGGTTAAGGTCTTTGACTTCAAACCACTTGCCTCACACTGCTGTAGGTCGAGCCATGCTAGCGTCTTCGGATTCTTCATGTGAGAAAGCTTTCTAGCTAGCTTACAGAACATTGGTGGTTCTACTCAGGTGCCTGAAATAATGTACAGAGGAGCACCTGAGGTCTTTCTTCACCAGTAAGACTAGAAAGTTGCCATATGATCTACACTGTGTTGATGATGTTAAACCCAAACCAAAGTGTAACACTTGTGTATATTTTTGTTTTCAATTTCAGTTTTAAACCAATTATACAGTATGTAGATGATCAGTTTGAACGTTACCTTAACGACGAGAGTGGTCTAAATAGACGACATATTATAGACAATCGTGTTCACTGTTGCTTCTATTTCATAAATCCATCAGGGCATGGGTAAGTATCTCTCATTTCTAATTTTTAGCTCGACTATTCGATAAGAATAAGTAGAGCTATTGTAGTCACCCGAGCGTCGGCGTCGGCGTAACCACTTATGTTAAAGTTTTTGTAATAGTTCAAATATTTTCAAAGTCCATTGACATATGGCTTTGAAACTTTGCACACTTGTTCACCATCATGACTCCAACCTGTAGACAGGAGGAGGTAACTCTAACAAGCATTTTGACAGAATTATGCCCCTTTTTAGCTCACCTGTCACAAAGTGACAGGGTGAGCTTTTGTGATCGCTTTTCGTCCGGCGTCCGTCCGTCCATCCGTAAACTTTTACTATAAATGACATCTCCTCATAAACCACTAAGCCAATTTCATCCAAACTTCACAGGAATGTTCCTTTGGTGGTCACCTTTAAAAATTGTTCAAAGAATTTAATTCCATGCAGAACTCTGGTTGCCATGGCAACCGAAAGAAAAAACTTTAAATATCTTCTTTTAAAAAACCATAAGAGCTAGAGCTTAAATATTTGGCATGAAACATCTTCTAGTGAGTGTCAACCAAGTTTGTTCACATAAAAGCCCTGGGGTCAAAATTGGCCCCGCCCCGGGGGGGTCATTGATTTTCCCTATATACATATAGTAAAAACTTAAAAAATCTTCTTTTAAAGAACCAAAAGAGCTACAGCTAAGATATTTAGCATGAAACATGTTCTAATGGGTGTCTACCAAGTTTGTTCAAATAAAAGCCCTGGGGTCAAAATTGGCCCCGCCCCGGGGGGTCATTGATTTTCCCTATATGCATATAGTAAAAACTTAAAAAAATCTTCTTTTAAAGAACTCAAAGAGCTATGGCTAAGATATTGAGCATCAAACATGTTCTAATAGGTGTCTACCAAGTTTGTTCAAATAAAAGCCCTGGGGTCAAAATTGGCCCCGCCCCAGGGGGGTCATTGATTTTCCCTATATGCATATAGTAAAAACTTAAAAAATCTTCTTTTAAAGAACAAAAAGAGTTAAAGGTAAGATATTTATCATGAAACATGTTCTAATAAGTGTTTACCAAGTTTGTTCAAATAAAAGTCCTGGGGTCAAAATTGGCCCCGCCCAGGGGGGGGGGGGGGGTCATTGTTTTCCCTATATGCATATAGTAAAAACTTAAAAAATCTTCTTTTAAAGAACCAAAAGAGCTAGAGCTAAGATTTTCAGCATGAAACATGTTCTAATAGGTGTCTACCAAGTTTGTTCAAATAAAAGCCCTGGGGTCAAAATTGGCCCCGCCCCGGTGGGTCATTGATTTTCCCTATATGCATATAGTTAAAACTTAAGAAATCTTCTTTTAAAGAACCAAAAGAGCTAGAGCTAAGATATTTAGCATGAAACATGTTCTAATGGGTGTCTACCAAGTTTGTTCAAATAAAAGCCCTGGGGTCAAAATTGGCCCCGCCCCGGGGGGTCATTGATTTTCCCTATATGCATATAGTAAAAACTTAAAAATCTTCTTTTAAAGAACCAAAAGAGTTAAAGCTAAGATATTTAGCATGAAACATGTTCTAATAAGTGTCTACCAAGTTTGTTCAAATAAAAGCCCTGGGGTCAAAATTGGCCCCGCCCCGGGGGATCATTGATTTTCCCTATATGCATATAGTAAAAACTTAAAAAATCTTCTTTTAAAGAACTCAAAGAGCTATGGCTAAGATATTTAGCATCAAACATGTTCTAATAGGTGTCTACCAAGTTTGTTCAAATAAAAGCCCTGGGGTCAAAATTGGCACCGCCCCGGGGGTCATTGATTTTCCTTATATGTGTATAGCAAAAACTTAAAAAATCTTCTTTGAAAAAACCCAAATAGCTAGAGTTAAGATATTAAGCATGAAACATCTTTTAGTGAGTGTCTACAAAGTTTGTTCAAATAAAAGACCTGGGGTCAAAATTGGCCCCGCCCTGGGGGTCATTGATTTTCTTTATATGTGTATAGCAAAAACTTAAAAATCTTCTTTGAAAAAACCCAAATAGCTAGAGTTTAGATATTAAGCATGAAACATCTTCTAGTAAGTGTCTACAAAGTTTGTTCAAATAAAAGCCCTGGGGTCAAAACTGGCCGGGCCCCAGGGGTGTCATTGTTTTTAACTATATGTGTATAGTAAACTTTAGAAAAATCTTCTTTCAATAAAGCCCAATGAGCTAGAGCTTAGATGTTTAGCGTGAAACATCTTATGGATGTCTACCAAGTTTGTGCAAATAAAAGCCCTTGGGTTAAATTGGCCCTGCAACGTTGGGGGGGGGTGGGGGTTGGGGGCCTATATACAGGTGAGCGACCTCAGGGCCATCATGGCCCTCTTGTTCAACTTAGAATTTATGTTAAAGTTTTTGTAATACCTCAAATATTTTCAAAGTCCATTGACATATGGCTTTGAAACTTTGCACACTTGTTCACCATCATGACCCCAACCTGTAAACAGGAGGAGGTAACTGTATCAAGCATTTTGACAGAATTATGCCCCTTTTTAGCTCGACTATTCGATAAGAATAAGTAGAGCTATTGCAGTCACCCGAGCGTCGGCGTCGGCGTCGGCGTAACCACTTATGTTAAAGTTTTTGTAATAGTTCAAATATTTTCAAAGTCCATTGACATATGGCTTTGAAACTTTGCACACTTGTTCACCATCATGACCCCAACCTGTAGACAGGAGGAGGTAACTCTATCAAGCATTTTGACAGAATTATGCCCCTTTTTCTACTCAGAATTTACGTTAAAGTTTTTGTAATAGTTCAAATATTTTCAAAGTCCATTGACATATGGCTTTGAAACTTTGCACATTTGTTCACCATCATGACCCCAATCTGTAAACAGTAGGAGGTAACTCTATCAAGCATTTTGACATAATTATGCCCCTTTTTTGACTTAGAATTTACGTTAAAGTTTTTGTAATAGTTCAAATATTTTCAAAGTCCATTGACATATGGCTTTGAAACTTTGCACACTTGTTCACCATCATGACCCAACCTGTAAACAGGAGGAGGTAACTGTATCAAGCATTTTTTTTACTATCAAGCACTAGAATAGTTGAGCGTTGCTGTCCTACCAGCAGCTCTTGTTCAACTTAGAATTTATGTTAAAGTTTTTGTAATACCTCAAATATTTTCAAAGTCCATTATGGCTTTGAAACTTTGCACACTTGTTTACCATCATGACCCCAACCTATAGACAGGAGGAGGTAACTGTATCAAGCATTTTGACAGAATAATGCCCCTTTTTCGACTTAGAATTTACGTTAAAGTTTTTGTAATAGTTCAAATATTTTCAAAGTCCATTGACATATGGCTTTGAAACTTTGCACACTTGTTCACCATCATGACACCAACCTGTAGACAGGAGGAGGTAACTCTATCAAGCATTTTGACAGAATTATGCCCCTTTTTCGACTTAGAATTTACGTTAAAGTTTTTGTAATAGTTCAAATATTTTCAAAGTCCATTGACATATGGCTTTGAAACTTTGCACACTTGTTCACCATCATGACCCCAACCTGTAAACAGGAGTAGGTAAATGTATCAAGCATTATTTTTTACTATCAAGCACTAGAATAGTCAAGCGTTGCTGTCCTACCGACAGCTCTTGTTGTGTATAAGGTTTCCAATTCTTTTCAATATTTACTTCCCTTGCCAAAAGTGGTAGCCTGTTTGGAGACCAATAAAATGAATATTCTATATGATATCATATGATTGACAAAGTATGAAAAAAATCCATATTATCAGCCAATTTACGTGAATTATTGAATTCTTTAATACACATGCAGCAAGGTATCTTTATAGCACCAATATGTAAAAGATTTTTATCAGTTTTTATGGAGATCAAAGAATTATGAGAGATTTTTATCTTATCTATTTAACGCATATGATATATTGGGAATGACTCCAAAAAATGGCAGCCAGAGGTGGTAAAAATTGCTATTTGAAAAACATCTCTTGTATAGATATTTTTTGGTTGTAAAGGAAAACAAAGTTAATATACAGTAGATACAATACAATACAAGAAATCAATATATCTATACCAATGGCTTCATATATATTTTTAGCAAGTTTCTTGTATCTTTAATCAACTTTTAAAATAGATTTAAAAAAAGAAGAAGCTTTCTTGTGTCTATTGTTAAAATTTTGTATATACATAATGCATTAAAACATGTTGACTGTAGGAAAATTTCAACACATGCAATTGTTACTTTCATTTCAGTTTACGTCCATTAGATATAGCATTTATGAAAGCAGTTCACCATAAAGTCAATATAGTTCCAGTTCTTGCCAAAGCAGACCTGTTAACTAAAAAAGAAGTGCTAAATCTCAAGAAAAAGGTACAAAATACTTATTAATAGCATTCATGATGGAAAATATTTATTGAATTCCAAAATGCACACCATGAGCAGTGTTTTACTACTTTTAAAGAATTTTTATTAATGGGATCTCAAGACTACAAGGTTGAAAACAAGATCTGGAGGCATCCCTGTAATTCCTGACTGGGAAATCTGTAAGGGTCCTTTCGAATGCTTAGAAATTTTTTAATTAATTGCCTGAGATTAAAATTTATCAGGTAGATCCATGAAACTAGTACTTACTTATTGTCTTGGTTTTTCTGAATTTTGATGGCTAACTTAGGTCAATCAAGTTGAATAAAGGACATCACTTCAGTCTACTATGCTATACCTTCTCTCAGACTGTGTACAATATTTTCTTTATTACAGGTTATGGAACAAATAGAAAATATAGATATCAGTCTATATCCACTTCTAGACTGTGACCATTATTTTCTACATTTCAGGTTATGCAACAAATAGAACAACAAGGTATCAGTCTATACCCACTCCCAGACTGTGATGATGATGAAGATGAGGATTATAAAGAACAGTGCCGACAACTCAAGGTAAATATAGTACTTTTTTACACTTATATAGAGGATATAGAGAGATTTAATATTAAATTTATTGAACAAGTTGAATGAAATCATATTGTGTGTGAATTGGAGCATAATATTGTTTAATTCACTGAGTTTTATAAATTTAGTATTGAATATACATAAAAATACAAAGTTCTATTTATAGCATATCTAAAATAATAATGGTTTACAGTTAAATGAGTCATTTTTCGATGACACACCTATAGTGTAATGCCAACATGTGTGCTTAAATGCTACATTTGTATACATTTATAACAAAAATGTTGTCAAGTCAAAATGTAATACCGCATTTATTATGCTCCTCAAAAAAGGGAGAGCATATAGTTGCTGCCTTGTCCATCTGTTTGTAAGTTGTTTGTCCGAAGCATAACTTGAAAACCCTTGGACATAATTATTTTGCTCTGTTTATGAATCATCTCCTCTTTTAAAACAATCTTGTCCTGAGCATAACCTGAAAGCCTTTGGAGATAATTTGTTTAAACTGCACACAGTGGTAGAGGATATAAAAGTTCCATTCTTTTTACAGGCGGCAGTTCCGTTCGCTGTTGTAGGTTCAAACACTATCATAGAGGTGAAGGGTAAGAAGGTCAGAGGTCGAATGTACCCATGGGGCGTTGTTGAAGTGGAGAACCCAGATCACTGTGATTTCATCAAACTTAGAACTATGCTCATGTAGGTTTTTATTTCAAAACAAACAAATAACAAAATAAAGATAAAGAATGTAACAATCCAAGATGTACAAATATTTTTTACTTTAACTGCTATTTAATATGTAAAAAGGTCAGATTTTCAGTTTAGGACTTGAAGAATGCTTGACACGTAACCTGCTGAATTTGTGTACTAGACTTGCCCAGTTTTGAATCTGGAACAGTCAGTTCACAGTTTTAGGGATTTCAGCATCAAAATATTGGCCTACATGTACCAGCAGTTTAGAGCCTGGCACTGTTCTAGTGTCAAAGGCTAATTACTGTCTGTTCCAACAAGTTACAGGGTCAAAATAATGCTTATGTCATTTTCATAATATTCAGCATTAGATTACATTACAGAAAATCATTCATTAGAGAGGCAAGCAGTGTATTTCTTAATAAAGGGGAACAACTCCAAAATGTTTTGATATATTAGATTGTGAAAAATGGAAGTTCAGTAGATTTAATTTATTACATCTTATTTAATAAGTACTGAGCTATCCAACTCATACTCAACCCATGTGCCTGCCCTTATCTCAGACTATACATTTAGTTAGTTTATACAAATTTATTTTAGTTTTGATTGTGTTGGAAGCTAATAGCTTATTGAAATACTCTCGAATCCGTTCATGGAACCAGCCAGTACTAAGCAATGAATGTAAAGTTTCTTGCTCAAGGAAACAACGACTTGCCCCTGACAGCGTTTGAACCCACGCGGTTAGCAATCCTGAAGTGTTAACCCCTAAGCCATGCTGCCACTTGTTTGTCAATGTGGTCTTTCCTTTAAAAAAATTGAAAAGTTGTCATGGTTTTAAAAAGTCTACACTGAGGTTTGTTTTCACATGATGAGACTGGTAATATTTGTTTAAGATTACTTGTGTGCAAAACTACAGATCATTTGCTCAGTCCAGTTTTCTAGAATTATGAAGAATTATTTAAATGGTGAAAAATGGCCTTAAAATGAAAAGCATTTTAATATTTTTTAGCTCAACTAGGGCTAGTAATCCGGCTAATCCCACACAAATATGGTGTACACAATATAATTCAGAATAATTTATTTCTTCAGTATCTTCTGTAATTTTTTCTCATTTCAAATTTTATATTTTTGATGTTTTTGGACCTCAATGGAGTTTCTATAATATTTTCAACAATACTTAAAGCTCAACTAAAAGTGCATGATGACCTAAGAAAAATACAATGATCTGTTGGATGATAGAAGAATTAACTTTATTTGTCGTTTTATTTTCAGAACGCATATGCAAGATTTACAAGAAGTAACGCAGGAAGTACATTATGAGAACTTCCGTGCAGAAAGACTTGCCTCCGGTGCCCCTATGCCAGCTAAAAAACCTAGGTTAGTATGGTACCGAATTTTGTCAGTGTGCCAGCTTTTTTTCTATCCTGAACCTAGAGTTTGACCAATTCAATTGATTTCATTTAACTTTTTTTGTTCTTATTTGGTCTAAGGAATGTCTGCAGGAAATTTTGTTATATCTTTATAAAATTTCATTTCTTTTGATTTTGGGATGGGGAAATTGTTATACTTTTATGATTGCTTTCCTATTAATATGCGATCAGAGCATATTTATGTCAAGTCAACAGAGTTACTTTTCTGTGCAAGCATAAATTTTTGTTTATATTTCTTTTCAACAGTTGCAAGGTTGTTGTTGTTTGTACATTTTCTTTCCATCTTGATATTTAACTTTTTATGCTTGAATTTGTTTATATCTAACTATTTCTTGCTTTGAAATTGTGTTACAGAATTTGAAATGATAATTCATGGCAGATTTAAGAGAAGGCTACGTTTGATGTTTAATGCTTTTGGCTTTCAGTCAAATAAAGCATGGATGCTTAAATTACATTAATAATATTGTTTTTGATAGCTGTTAATAAAATTTTTTTTGGACAAAATTATCAATGCAGCTTCTTTTGCATTACTTTAGCTTTTAAAAATTTGTATATGCATTATTAAAGGGTAGGAATTTTTATAAAAAATCAAAATGAAGAAAATGTTTTTCTCCTACTTTTTGGGGTCATGGAGGACGTCACTAAACTTGGAAATTTTTTAAATGAAAAAAATGTAATGGTGCAAGTGTGGATAAGCTGGAAGAACTTAATTCTGACTTTTGACACAGTTGTAAAAAAGGGGGCATTTGCTACAGACAGTCTTTTATTGTTAAGTTAAAAAAAAAGTTCTCTTTAAAACTTTTTAATGAATTTAAAAAAAATTATAAGAATACTAAAAATTATTAGGTTTTTTTTCCCTTTTAAATGAAGTTTTTTTTTTCTACAAGTTTTTATAATTTTTGATCTTTTAAAAAATTTTGGGGGTTTTACCGGGGTAGTAAACTTTTTTTGCATTCCCGTCGTCGCATTGTTGAGGAACCAGTCGAGTATGTCTATAAATAGATTTAATTTTATGCATTTTGATTGGTTAATGAAGATAATTTATGCATATAGTTAGGTTAGAAGCAAGGTTGAAGATAGGCAGCACACTGCTGGCATGTGTCATGTGTGGGACGAATTTTCAGAGGGAGGGAGGGGTGTAGGGGGAGATTTATGTAGAATCGGAGGGAGGGGTGTAGGGGGAGATTTATGTAGAATGGTTTTGTTTCATTTATGTGTATGGAACATACTGGCATGTGTTATTGGTAATAAAGAATGAGATACTTGAATTAGAATTATTTCAAAATGGATTGAATGTGTATTACTCCTGTAATAAATTTGATTTGTAGTATTGGCATGCATAACATGGGTAACATACAGAATGTAGACTTTGCAATGCAAATATACATAGTAGAATGTTTGAAAAAAGAAGCAAATTTTTCAAAATTGATTGTCATGACTCGTATAGAAGTGTTAACATTTTAGTATTAGGTATAAATTTAAACTTTATGAGGTTTGTTTCATAATATATGGTTGCTCCCTCTTAAAATATAGTATGGTAGTTCATGTTATTGTCAAATTTTGCAAAGAAAACGTCACTTCGTTATTATAAGTGACAATTCAAGACCTATACTAAGATTTATGGCATGAGCATTGCATGTTATGTGAAATATATGTTTGATATTATTTTAATGCAACAATATGTGGATTGTCCCGTTAACATGGATTGTCCCATAAACATGGAATGTCCCATAAACATGGAATGTTGCTATTGTTGAGTGTAGATTTTGGAACCATTTTCAGCTGATGCCATTTTGAATAAAATAAACTAACATATAAAACCTCTTGAATGTTACATATGGGAGATGTTGCAGTGTTTGAATTTTTTTTAGAGCTATGTTTAGTAATTTGAACATAAGGGAAATATTTAACTATTTTTAAGGCCGTATTCAATTTTTTTAGGGCCATATTAATTTTTTTTATGGCTGTTTTAAATTCTTTTGAAGGCAATATTTCTTTTTTTAGTGCAATATTGAATTTTTAAGGTCAATATTTTCTTTCATTTAGGGCAATATTTATTTTTCTTTAGGACAATTTGATTGGGTAATATCTAATTATATACAAGGCAATATGCAATTCTACATCATATAAACAGCAATGTTTGATTATTCTGAAAGCAATGTCTAATTATTATTTACATGTATATATTACACTAATATTGAATTCTTTAATGGCAATATATGGCCACCTTAGTGCTGTAGATAGTAAACTCCTTTTAAATTTGATAGAAGTTAACCCATAACTGCACTGAGATGATGATGTGGTCGTCAAGCATTATGTAAATTATATAGTACTTTTTCATGATAAGGTGTATATATGAGCCGCGTCATGACAAAACCAACATAATGGGTTTGCGACCAGCATGGATCCAGACCAGCCTGCGCATCCGCGCAGTCTGATCAGGATCCATGCTGTTCGCTTACCAACTCTATTACAAGTAGAGAAACTGATAGCGAACAGTATAGATCCTAATCAGACTGCGCAGATGCGCAGGCTGGTCTGGATCCATGCTGGTCGCAAACGCACTATGTTGGTTTTGTCGTGACGCGGCTCATATATATATTATTTTATTTTTATGTAATATAAGAGTATAATTAGCTTTGAAAATTGATACTGACTAAAACTTCTGTGCATAATTTGTAGAAACAAAGGTCTTTGCTAACATATTTGTATTTTTTGCATTTTTTCCATATGCCAACTTGTGTTTACACAAATTGTGTTGTGGACATATTTGAATGGTAAGGCACTAATTGTGTGGAGCATTGTATTGTATATGCATGAGTTTTGTAGTGAAATCATATTTTCTCATCCATATGTCTAAGTGATGTAAGGTCAACCCTTTCCACTGTAAATATTTTAAGTGGACATGTCCCTCTTTCAATCTGGACAAAAACCATTCATCTTTTTTGGGGAAAATTTTAAAATATGTATTGACTGAACAGTGCAGACTATGAAAAGACTGCAAAAATGTGCTTGCAGATCTTGGTCTGCACTGGTTGCATGGGGGGAATAATTAGCTGCAGCCAGCTGGAAAATGGAAAAAAAGTAAAATATAGAAATTGAATACACCAGTACTTGCTACCGTTTACCACTGTAGTTGACCCATATCTTGCTAAATACCTTAAAATGGACTTGTCCATCTTTTAACCTGGACAACAGTGCAGACCATGGTCAGACTGCATACACCTGCAGATTGATTTTTCTCTGCACTGTTTTCATGGGGAAGAATTAGAGGTCGTCTGCAGCAAAGGGTTAATACATTGGGTAAAAAAATGCAGAAATTGAATACACCAGAACTTTTAATCTGGACAAAACCATTGATCATTTTTACAAAATATAACAAATGACTGACTAGCCAATAGTGCAGACCATGATCAGATGGCAAAGACCTGCAGATTGATCTTCGTCTGCACTTGACTCATGGATAGATTCAGTTACCCGTACCAATAGCAGGGTTAAAGTTAGACATGAATCTGATGACATATGGATGAGAAACTATGTTGTTTTGAAAGATACTTAGATGGATATTTTATGAATGTATTCTTCTATGAAATAACTCCTTTAATTTGTGCACATACATAGTTACACCCAGATCTTAACTGAAATATTGTAAACCCAGAATACAAGTTAAGCACTTCATAGAGCTTATTTTAATGGACACACCCATGATGTATCTTTATTGTTACATTCTGTTCTGGTACATTGATATATATGATATCACTGTACAGCTTTATAATCCAGTTATAACAGTACTTAGTAATTTTCTCAAATAGAACATTTTCTGCACTTCATATTTCTTTCTGAGTAACAGCATTTTTTAGACAAATCAGTATTGTACAGATAGTTCCAGAGTTTTACAATATTTACCTCCCTTTCAAAAAGTTGGACACCATTTTGGGGGTCAATATTCTTTATCATAAATATTGCATGCTTGTAAGGTCATTTTACATGGATGCAGTCGATTTATGAATTATTTTCATTTTTTTTCCCTTATAAAGAAAGTTTGCAATATATATGAATTTGTTATAAAGATTCTAAACAGGTTAAATGGCCATATCTGAAAAGTTAATTCCAATAAAACCCAAGTCGTTATATACAAACAGCCGTTATTATAACCAGACAACAATTTTCATAACATATAGAATTAATAATATAATAAAATTGACCAAATATGAAAAAATCAACAATATAAACAGCTTATTTAAATGAATTATCAAATTGTTTTATACATATGAAAGAAAATATTATTATAGCACAAATATGTAACAGATTTTTATCAGCTTTCATGAAGAAGATATAGATAAAATTATGAGAGATTTTTATTTTATCTTATGCATATAATATATTGGAATGACCCTCAAAATGGTGACTCCAAGCACTTTTACTATATAATTATACTGACCTTCCATATTGAAATTCTGTAATTCTTTCATACATTCAATCCAATTGCATTATATATAAATATGCAAAATTGTTGATGCATATGTGTGTGCATATTGCTTTTCCATTGGATAAATGCATATAAAAAACATAAAAGTTAGTGTGAAAGTATAAAGGTGTTTGAATGTGTTGAATTTGCTGTGTTGACAGGTTATACTTCTTGGACTTTTATACTAGTAAATTCTTTTAATCTATTTTATGTAAACTAACTTGTGTAATGGCGTAAACACAGATGTTTCCATGCTCAGAATTACCAAGAAGTTGTGAAAGACATTATTTTGGTTGCTTTGCAGTGGGAGTTGTAAAACAAATTTTTTACATTTCAGAATTTTCTTTTCAAAGAAACCAGTCAGTGCAAAAGACCTCTGAAAAAGAATCTTCAGTACATAAAATATCAATATATGCATTATTGCTTTAGTTATTTAACATGTTTTCTGATTGTAATTTAGACATTTAAACATGCACCAACTTTACTTTATGTATAAATATGTCGGTAGTTAAGTATAAATACATTCATAACAGTTTTGCCGCTTACATCAAAGAAAATTTGTAAATAAGACATTGATACATGCACTACCTATAGTTTTGACATTGTATAACATATTTGGTAAAGAAGGCATAAGTACATGCATCAACTTTACGTTTGTATGTTGTATACAGATTAAACCATTGTAATTGCAGACATTTTAATTTATTTGAATTTTGTTTTAATATTACAGTCGCACTCAAAATAGAAATGACAATCAAGTTGACCAGAGGGAACAAGCTCTTCAGGAAAAGGAAAAGGAGGTAAGAATATTATTGAATTCCAAAAGTATCAGATATTCTATTTATAGAATCTCCACCATTACATAATAGGATGGCTTGTTGTTGTCTCTGTCAAAAAGAGAGGGGGAGGGGGGTCAGTGACCGATTGGTTTAGATTGTTGACTTCCAACCACTTCCCCTCACTGCTTTGGGTTTGAATCCCTTCTCGTGCCTAATATAATGCAGAAAGGGGAACCAGAAGTCTTCATCCACCAGTAAAGCTGGAAAGTTTACAATTGACTTCTATTGTGTTGATGCGATGTAAAAACTTACAAAACAAAAAAAGACTGAATGATGTATTCTGTAAGGAAAAAAATATCAAATTAATATTTGAATATTAAAGTAAAATTAATATATTCAAATCCAGCCTACTGTGAATTATTATTATCATACAAGGAAGAGATAAAAATAATTTCAAAAAGGACCTACTTTATCAGAGATGCATTGTTTTCGTGTCGTATACTGTATGCTATTCTTTTTTCAGTTGAGAAAAATGCAGGAAATGCTGGCCAAAATGCAAGCAGAGATGGATGCTCAGAAAGGGGGCACACAAAATGGTGTCAGGTCTCACAATGTATAGAAGGTACGCTCAGTTTTGTTCAACCTCTACATAGCAACACATTTGGGAGACAAAGACTTTGGTTGTTACTGACGAGATGTTGCTCTACAGAAGTTTAATTTATCCCTAAAGTATCATTTTGAGAAGAATCGAAAGTTCTTTTGTACTAAAGTTATTACTCTATGGAGGGTCTCTCTTGAAGAGGTTGCACTGTATGTAATGAAAGATGAAAACTGTTGCCTATTTTCTATAACAAAACTAAAACATTGATTAAAGGATGTTTACATTTTGTCTCAAACAAAGAACATTATGTGTGACAATGCTGGGTGTCAAACAAATTTATGGTACAACATCGCTTTATACAATCACACAATTGTACAAATCACAACATTTCACAAGTATATTGGTAAATGAACAAATATACAGTAAACCCAGCTTACAATGATATTCAGGGGACCGGCGAATTTATATCATTAAATATCCTAGAGGCAGCCAATATGAAAACAAGAGTTGGGACCGCGACAACTGCATCTTTAAAAGTGGTATATCGTTGAAAGCTATATCTTTATAAGTGGCTTTTACTGTAATTTTACAAATTTTCAAAATTTTATTAGCATTCTTCTCTGTTTAACCACGCTGTTTGATAACGCTAACCTCATTGTATCGCTAACGAGTCTTGACCTTGACATTGTTAATGTGAATAAAAATCAAAACGTGCAAATCTGTTTGTTGTATATTTCAGATTGTCGATGTTTTTCAACTACCGCATAATGAACAAATGGACTGCTGATAGATTAAAACAAATATGCCATTTGCTTTCTAGTTTACATGTACATGTATATGACATTCGTAAATGATAGTGCTACCATAGTTGTTCAGCCATTTTACTGGTCAAAAAAAAAGGGAAAACAAGAAGAAAATATTCGGCTATTCACAGATGTTTGGAAAAGATGTTTTGAATTAATAGATTGTAAAGTTTGCAGAATTTTTTTTTTCATTTAAATGAATTTTTCAATTATTGTGTTTAATTTTTGACGGATTTTCTTATTTTGCAAGATTTTCAAAGTTTAACTCGTACACCTGTTACTACATAATGTAATGGACTTGGTCCAGCTTTTAATTCAGAATAGTTCATTATTAAGTTTTAGGGGTGTCAGGCGAAAAATAATAAATTTTAGTGAATGATTTTATAATTTTTTCTTTTTTGAAGGACATTGGTAAAAGTTTGGAAGGTGTTGGCCTGAAGTTTTTGATGCGTTAATTTGGAATAATAATATTATACTGTATTTTATATGTTGATGTGACATGCCATTTTTTTAGAATTTTTTTTTTATTCATCATACTTTATGTTAAAGACAATGTCATAGAGATAAGTGGTCCAAACATCAGGTTCTTTAACATTTTTACAAGGTATTACATGTCCGTTGCCTTTACAGGGTCCACTGTTTATGTTTTTCATGTATATTATAATTCAACAGTGTTGCTTTGGAAATGTGTTTGAACATATAGATTTTTGTTTCTTGCCATGTTCTGGTTATTATTCCATCTCATTGCCAAATACTAGTATTTGGGCACCATTTTTATTTTGTTCTTGAATGACTTAGAGATGGATAGATTGTTCTTGTTTAGAAGATTATATTATATAGAGGATATTTGTTTAGGTCAGTGTAAGATCTGGATATATTTCACCGAATGAGCACCAAAAGGTATATTTCACGAGTGGCACAGCCACGAGTGAAATATTAACTTTTGGTGTTCACGAGGTGAAATATATCCAGATCTTACACTAAACAAATTTTCTTTTTATTATATGCAAAGAAATGTGTAAAAAAAACATTTAACCTAATACTAAATAAAAAGTGCGCCAAATAATAGTTATGTGATGTCATTTACTATGTCACATCATTAAGTTGTTTTCCAGTAATGTGCAGGCTGGTATTTCACTGAAATAACCTCAAAACAGTGAAAAATATCAAATTGATAATTTCACTGTTTCAAACAGTAAAATATTATGTATTTCACTGATATATTTCTATAAACCACCAAAAAGCATGTAATAAATTGTATACTAAGCCTTGGTCCGAGGTTATAAAGAATTTTTCTCAGCTCAGACTGGTAACTCGGATATTTGATTGGTCGAAAACTGCCACAGAACTTGCACTGACCAATGAAAATCCTAAGATCTGAGACAGAGCTCAGAAAAATGTTTTCATAATATCAAAGCCAGATCTCTGTAAAATAGATTGATGACAAGATATTTTGTCTTAGAAATAAGTTTGAATCTCTTACTATGTTTTCATTTATATTGTTTGTTTTCTACAACCATGTACATGTATGTTAGAGGCGTCCGTGGCCGAGTGGTTAAGGTCGTTGACTTCAAACCACTTGCCCCTCACCGCTGTGGGTTCGAATCCCGACAGGGACTTTGGATTCTTTCAAGTGAGGAAGCTATCTAGCTAGCTTACGGAACGTTGGTGGTCCTACTCAGGTGGCTGTTCGTGCTAGATTAATGCACAGAATGGCACCTGAGGTCTTCCTTCACCAGTAAAGCTGGAACGTCGCGATATGACCTATACTGTGTTGATGTGACGTAAAACCCAAAAACAAACATGTATGTTGCCTAGTAACTGTACATGTGCCATGTATTCATAATTGGTATTGGTCCCACCGTTTACATATATTAGTCATTGCTTTGAGGGCGTTATGTTTATGTTGTATAAAGGCCAACTTTGAAAAATTGTTGGTAAATTTTTATTAAAAAATCTGAAAATTCAAATAACTTTTCTCAAGTTTGAACGCAAAAATATTTTTTTGCGTTAAAAGAATAGTGCAAAATGTTAAAACCTTTGGTTGGTTACCCTGTATTATTTTAAAGCCAGAATTAAGCTCTCTTGTATTATTTACAAACATATCCAATCCTAAATCTGACTGTTCAAAAGTATTTTATTTACATTTTGCATTGTGTATCAGAAATTAGATTATATACATGTATAATTTTGTTACCTTTCCCTAGATTTTTGTATTTTTCTCAAAAAAAAAGCCAAAAAAGTTACATTATTTTAAGGTAGAAATTTGCTGATCTCCGTTTTTTCCATTATTTTATAAAAAAAAGATTGAAGTTTCTTGTTTGCTTCTTCCATTATGCTCAGAATAGGCTCAGTGAATGCTCATAAAATGGGACATGAGTTACCTCCCCTCATGGCCATAAAATGAAATTTTAGGACAATGATGGTGTATCGTGTTTGACTAGCTGTAGGCAGTTATTTTTAGAGCAATTCGACAAGTTTGTACTTAGCAAGTAATTGTAGATAGTTTTTCCAAGAAAAAAACCCAAAAATAGTAGAAAAACCTAAGCAATAAGGGCTGTTAAGTTGGAAAATTTGATACTATTTTTAGGTCATTATGTGTATATGTAGGATTTTTTTATAGTAAATGTAACTGATTCTCATATTTCATATGGTGTGATGTTTTTTTTATGTTTATATGTACAGTTTCTTAAGGATCAACTTGGTAAATGAGGCATATAAAGTTTGTGCAATATTATCTGTTATGAATTCTTTCAACTTCTAACTTTGTATGTTATAATTAATCAGTGTATAGTAATTATTTTCCTTGTCCCCTTCCTGAATTTTTAGAATGGACTTGCCCTTTGGAATTGGAATAACCCATTGTCAATACAAGGGGCATAACTGATGAAATGTTGTTAAACTTTGAGCAACGGACTGTATATTAAACTAATAGATAAAAAAATGCGTTAAATAAATTTATATAATTATCAGTTGTATAATTATCAATTTGCGAGTGATATTGCTATAAATTGTATCCAATCTTTTAAAACCTCTCGATGAAGGTTTACTATCATTGGTCAGTATTGAATATTAATAAACCAATGAAATGCTAGCTTTTAGACCGGTTTCCAAAACCTGAAATAGAAACATTAGATATCAGTTTTCAAGTAGACTGCTTTTTATTTTTTTACATTTTCACAATGTTTGTCTTTTTTCACATAAATAATATTAATAATATTTATGAAAAGTTTTTTTTGAAACTTTCTTTTTTCTGGACTGTGCCATCTTGTTGTTGTCTTCCATTTCTCAAGATTTATTTTTAAGAAAAAATTATTCAGACATTCAAGAATTTAGAACTTCAATTTTACCCCAGCTGCTAATTTCCAGATGCCATTTATTTGTATATTTTACGTAAAATGTGATTTGAAATTAGCAGGCAAAAATCAGGTTCAAGTATATCATCAACTTTAGATATATAGTGCCTTCTTTGTAACAAATAATAACAAGTTTTATTTCATTTTTCACTGCTTATATTTTTTCTCTGTATTATTTTGTATCTACATGTATTTCATGTGTATTGTATGAGAAACCATGCATAAAATAAAAATCAAACATTTATCTGTAAATGATGTATAAATTACATTGTAGTCTCTTTTACTTCAAATATTAAAATGATAAGAAACAGTTTGTGTTATTGTTTTGTCTAAAGGTCAATTAACAAAATGGACATGTCTGTCTTCCCTGTTTTGGAACTGTTCGTTATCAACTTTAGGGATATCAAGTTGAAAATTTAAAGTTGGTCAGCCAGCATTATAGAGTCTGGTCTACATTGACGGGGTTCGAACCCACAGCAGTGAGGAGCAAGTTTACCTAGGTTAAAGGTTAAGGTCACACTGAGGTCATTGAAAAATGCTTGTTCGGAGCAAAACTTCGACATTCAGGGAATTTTAATGTAACTTGGCACAAATGTTCACCATTGTGAGGTTAAGTATTGCATGTATTATCAAGGTCACTGCTACCAAAGTCAAGGCCACATAGAGAGGTCAAAGTTAAGATAAAAACAGATGTGTACAGGGACCATTTAGTCATCATTTATTAATGGATTGTAACACAAATAATAACTATCATGACTAAAAGTGTGACACATGTAATTTTGATTAATATTTGCAAGGTCAAGGTTATAGATGATAAAATATCCAGATATTGCCAAGAACATTGAAGGATTCTGAAGGTAAACATTCTATCTTCACAAGCCATTAAAAAATGTCCGGTTTCTGTCATGCCAATGTATCAAGACAATGAACATTGAGGTTAATTTAATGGCCTTAAACAGGCCATAGCTCATGCTAGCCATATTGTAAAAAGAGAATCATGTTGTTGAGATAGTGAAAAGGGTATGACCATGAGACGGGTGGCATTATGTTGAAATATCCAGAACTGAGATACTGAGTGTCGACAAGAACATTACCCGAGTTGCCATGTATTGCAATTAACCTTATCAAGTTGACAGCATTGCACACATGGCGTTTAATTCAGTTTCATAAAATCATAATCTAGCTACTTTGCCGTCAGGAGGTCAGTTATTCTACCTCAAGGTGCCTTGCTCCCCAAGGCTTATATTATTATAATGCATGCATCTGTTGAGTATTGATAGAAAGTGGCAATATGATGTTAATTGTCCTGTTTGATTAAATTGTTGGATTATAAATCACACATACAGTACATGTATAGTCCATTAAGGTCATACGGCTTCTTTCAAATTTTATGGTGGAGGAACACCTCTTGTGCATTATTTCAGGCACAAGCCGGCACCCGAGCAGCACCATCCACTTCCGTATTAAACTTAGGCTAGATAGCTGCCACACACGTCTATGAATAATAAAAAAATAACACTAAATAAAACAAACTTGTAGTTCAATCAAACTGCTCAGATGACTAAGTTTGTAGCACATCATGTAGTTTTTCTCAGATATTTATAAACTATAATACAAAATACATGTAGTTACTTAAATTTTATTCCTATTGTCAAAACAATGATTTGGTCTGCAGCGTTTTTCAATTCTCGCGCAACTTCATATATTTATGATCATATGCCAAGGACAAGATATACTACTTATGTCTGGTAACATCAAACAATTTTGAAAGTATACTGGTGTTTGATCTTGTTGAAATGCTGTGGTTGAAGTTGTTGACTTCAAACCACTTGCCTCTCATCGATGTAGGTTCGAATCTCGACGAAGACTTTATATTCTTTCATATGAGTAAGCTATCCAGGTAGAGTACAGAATGTCGGTGGTTCTGAAATAATGCACAGCAGGGCACCTAAGGTCTAAGGGCTCTCTTGCAACTGGGCGATTTGGGCGACTTAGTCAAAGTTTCTGAACTTTGCCAAGTTTGGACATCAAAGCGAAATGTACTTAGCCACGCTTTTTTACTTACCCAATATCACACAGGGCATGTCAATAAATTCAATGAACTTGATTTCCTTTGAATTAGGAACAGTCCATTCTATCTTTAAAGGATTTCAATAACAAAACACAAATTTAAAATTGACCTTTAAGAGCCTGGTCAGACCTGCACAGATGTACAGGCTAGCCTGGTTCTATACTGGTAACTAAAGGCAAGAAGAAAACTTTGGGTTAATTATTTATTGTATCAACATATCAGTGAGCATTCTGGTCAGGAGGAGTAATAAAAAAACAAACAAAAAATAAATACCTAAACAAGAGGGCCATGATGGCCCTGAGTCGCTCACCAGAAACAACTGCTTTTCAGTGTTGAAATGTCAATACATTCTATATTAAATTTGAGCATAGAATATGTTTAAACAATAATTTGAAGAATTGCCATGACCTGGGGTATTTAAGCTTTAGCTTAAACGGGGCTAATCAAATTAATATGAGCAAACTTCATAAAAGACTACTTAAGAATGCTTCAAAGTTTGGTGATCATTTATCAATTATTTCAGTAGGAAATGATATTCAAAGTTTTTTTCTATTTTTAGCTTAAGTGGCCCCTAAAATGGGCTAATCAAATTAATATGAGCAAACTTGATAAAAGGGTACCCAAGAATGCTACAGACAAAGTTTGGTGATCATCCATCAATTGGTTCTGAAGTAGAAGATGTTTAAAGGTTTTTCTATTTTTAGTTTTAGCGGCCCCTAAAAGGGGCCAATCAAATTAATATGAGCAAATTTGATAAAAGATTACCCAAAAATGCTACAGACAAAATTTGGTGATCATCTATTAATAAGTTCTGTAGGAAAAGATGTTTAAACGTATTTCTATTTTTAATTATAGCGGCCCCTAAAAGGGGCCAATCAAAATAATAAAAAGACTACCAAACAATGCTTCAGACAAAGTTTGATGCTCATCCATCAATAAGTTCTGTAGAAATAGACATTTAAAGGTATTTCTATTTTTAGTTTAAGCGGCCCCTAAAAGGGGCCAACCAAATTCATATGAGCAAACTTGATAAAAGACTACCCAAGAATGCTGCAGACAAAGATTGGTGATCATCCATCAATTAGTTCTCTAGAAATAGACATTTAACGGTATTTCTATTTTTAGCTATAGAGACCCCTAAAAGGGGCTAATCAAATGAATATGAGCAAACTTGATAAAAGACTATCCAAGAATGCTACAGACAAAGTTTGGTGATCTTCCATCAAATATTCTCTAGAAATAGACATTTAAAGGATTTAAAGGTATTTCTATTTTTAGCTTTTGCGGCCCCTAAAAGGGGCCAATCAAATTAATATGAGCAAACTTGATAAAAGACTACTTAAGAATGCTACAGACAAAGTTTGGTGATCATCCATTCATTAGTTCTGTAGAAGAAGATGTTTAAAGGTTTTTCTATTTTTAGCTCTCCTGACCCCTAAAAGGGGCCAATTGGAATGACATGAGCAAATTCAAGTGTGACTGTCACAAGGATGCTACAGACCAAATTTGAAGTAAATCTGTCCAGTAGTTTCAGAGAAGAAGACGATTGTTGACACATGACGACGGACGACGGAGCATCCCCCTTTGATACTAATTAATAGCTCACCCTGAGCCTTTGGCTCTGGTGAGCTAAAAAATGATTGGTAACAAATTATGTAGAACACCAACAAATTAACAATGTACTCAATTTTTTTTTACATTTTATATTAGAAAATTTTTATTTATCAGTAAAATTATATGGTAAGTAAGAGCTGAATTTATCATTATAAAAATGTGTTTCATTAAAAAAGTTGGAAAAAGGGAGATAATACATACATGCATGTCTAAAATAGCAAATAGTTTATACTGAGGATCTGTTGTTCAAAAAGAAAATCTAAAAATGTAAACTAATGAATGACATAAAACCTGCATAAACTATGGATTAATAATTCGAATATATCAATGTTCCTGCTACAGTCGTCATTACTAGAAAATAAAGATATTATAAATATATGTATCAATTTGGCAATTCACTCTGATTTCATAATGCATGGAGAATGCACCTAGAATCTTCCTTTGACAGTGAAGTTGGAGGGTCACAATATAAATATAATGTACCTTTACATTGACGTAACTTAAAACCCAAGTCCCTGAATGCCAAACCTGTTTCCAAAAATATATTGTAAATATATGGTCGGAAAAAAATCCATCTTTTTGTCTGACTCATTATGAATGGTAGAATGTATGTAGGAGTTTTTATTGAATACATACTTTTTGCCCATATAATTCTATAAATGTGAAAATATATTTTTCTCTTGTACATGTATCTTTAATCTCATATACCCATATCAATGTTCTTTCATCCATTTTATAACAATATGCTTGCTTGTGGCAACTGAATCTACAAGGATTTAACTCAATACAGGATTGGAGCGGTACCTCTAGAGGCTTGCAAACAATCATGATAACAAAATAGACAAATATCGTTTTTTCACCAATTATTACATTTTTCATGCATTAATTTACATACAAAAATTGGTGTGAAAAGATGAATTAGACCTTTTAAAGTTATTCCATTGGGTAAAAAGGCATGATTTAAGCATTATATCATTCAAGCCCTGTTGTCGGTATATACCTGAATATGGTATTTAGTGTGGTACTCAATCCTTTTTTTAGTCTCACTGAATCTACAAATGTGACCAGTGCTGCACAAGATCATGGTCTACATTTAACGCTTTTCAGTCAGTACATATAATAAATTTTCCCTAAAAATGATTTGGTCCAGGAGGAAATATGGGTTCTTAAATTTGTTCAAGGTTGGTTAAGAAGAGTGTAAAATTCTCTTTTTAACACTATTAAACTTTCCCATGTCACAAAGATTTCACAAAGATTTTCTGTATCTATGTCTAACACAATAGATAATAGATGGTAAAATAAATTCCTGAACTTGTTGAGGGTTGATTAACAGCACTGTAAAATAAGTCTGTCTTGTGAGGTAGTTAAATGTTCAGTGCATATATCATTACAAACATATATGATCTTCTTTGATAATTTAACATGGTTGCATCTAGTATTTCCTAACATTTATCAACTTAAACTATTATAAAGCCATTATCACAAGTAATAATCAAAAACATTAATGTTGTCTATAAGTTTCATTGCTGCATTTGAAAATGTTATGCCGTCAGCAGTCGTTACACCATTTTCTTCATGTACATGACCAAATAGATGTAAGGTTGGCCTGAAATATAAATAAGAAGTCTTTAAATGTGTAAGTTGCCTGGAAATATAAATAAGAAGTCTTAAAATGTATTTTTATAAGTTTGCTTGAAATAAAGATAAGAAGTCTCACAACTTAAGAAATACATATACATAAAATCTCCCTGCACTACTGGTTTTATATATGACAGACAACAGTTTTACCTGGCATATACATGTATATCAAAGAAATTATAAGCATCACAAATTCAAACTTACTTCCTTATTTCATAAACTTTTTTTCCAAACTAAGCTCCATGTTTATTTTCAACATAATGCAATGTTTTAAATCACTCATTCTAAACTTTTGTGTTTAAGAGATATCAACACCACATAAAAAAATCACAAAATCAAACATAAACCAGACATATAAGGAAAAATATCAGGTAATCTAAAATAGTCTGTTTACATGTATTTGAGCTGACCTAGTAGGCAGGCTTTTATTATTAATTATAAGAAGGTAGTTAGTATACTTCTCTGTTTCTTATCCAGGTGCTCTATCACTTACCTTACTCTTTTGAAGACAGTTCTTTTTAATCCCCTACATCCCCAATGTTCTTTCGTTTCATGTACATCTCCACATACATTGCATGGGTCATTGGATGAAAACAAATTTCTGATTCCAGCAAAGCTTTTTTTGCCTAAGTCTAAAATTCCCTCTGGTGGTAAATGTGTGACGAGTATATCTGTTTCTGATGGTATCAATTTCCAATATTTATCCAGAGCATTCTTTGGTTTAGCAAAACCTCTTGCGTAGGACACCACCCGTTTTATATTCCATGGTGTTCCATATATGTTTAAACCTTCAATAGTGACCATCTTATCTTGGAGGTAAACAACTTCAGTCAATTGTTCTTCTATAAATTGTCTATGTTCACGATCAAAACTCATTTCATGATTACCAGCAACTAGAATCCTATGTTTGAATGGAAGCTTCTGGAAAAATGAGTTTATCTCTCTAATCATTTCTTCCCTATCTCGACTTTTATTTCCAAAATATCTTCCAACTGAAAATGCTGAGAAGTCACCCGAGTGAATCAGTATATCACCCTTTGGTATTGATTCTAAATACTGGTCATGTCTCATGTGTGTATCTGATATATGAACTATCCTCAAAACTTTTCCATCATTTGATTCAACTTTACCAACTTTATGTACTTTCATTTCTCTAATTATTCCAACTTCCCTTTTACAAATTACACCTACATGTACTTAAGAGTAATATAATATGTATACTGAGCAAAGCTTGACATTACACTAAAAGTTACAAATATAAGTTTCAAGTTTTTATAGAAAAGCGAAAACGATTTTTGATAAATATAACTATGACTTATGACGTTATAAATGAAACACGGAAGTAGATCTACATGTAGGCCTACTGTGCTTGATCGGTCGCGTACATCTTCATCTTCAGAAGAAATCAATATTATTTTAAATAACCACGCAAACATAAGCCATACAAAATTGTTCAGTAAAGGAACCTGTTGTAAAATGTACATAGATAGAAACGAGACAGTGAATTTATCAATATTTTGACATTTCTTTATTTACATTCACAACGTGCTTGGTGCTTCGTAAGAACGGCGTGTAATTATATTTGGTAGTACTAAGTCCTTTTTGAAACGGAAAGTGACCATCCAATCGCGAAATAAAAAGAAAATCAATAAAATAAAATAAACGTACACCCTCACAGTTTTAGATTAATTTGTATGCACTTATCACATGTTTTAATTAGTGTTTCTTTAAAAATTACTCCTGAAATAGGCCAGTCAATCACGTATAATACAAGAGTGATAAACCAATTTTCAAGTGATGGGTGCTGCACGTTGTTCAACCTCAAAGACAAATTTAATGAATAAAAAATTTAAGGATTGATATTATAACCTAGCATCAAATGATGAGTTTTAACTCCTGTAATACAATTACAAATACTATCTACTGAAACAAAAGTCCTGATATATGTTAAGGTAAAGGCTCGTAAAGAACGCAACTTAAAGTACATTGTAAATACAAAACATCTCGAAACTCTCCCATTGAATTTTCATATTCTGATTTGTCACAAAGGCTGCAAAGGCTGATGAAATTGAATGTCTATTGAATGAAAATAAAAGAATGAACATAAAACTTCATTTATATTCACTGACATCTACATTGATACAAAATAAACATTACAGTTATTATAATTTACATAGCTTTATACAAACCTTTAGTCTCCTGGCGACATCTATTACCACCAGTCCTGTGCGACCAGTGCAGATCAAGACCAGTGGGCACTTCCATACAAACTGATCATGGTCTGAACTGTTCGCTATTCAGTCAGTACTTATTTTGTTAATTTCTCTAACAATGACGTAGGCTTATGTATGTGTCCAAAATAATGGGTTGACAAGTCCATTTAAGATATTAAGTATGGCAAGGATTAAGCGACATTCAGGAGGTAATTTACGAGGTAAACAATCTTGATGATAGAATATATATTACCATATAAAGCAGATATTACTGCCAAGATAACAGGGATTTTATCAGATGAAACAATGATACAGATGGTAAAAAACGAAATAACAAGCTTAACAACAACTCTTCGTCGTCGTCGTCGTCATCATCATTATCATCATCATCTCCGTCTTTGTTGTCGTCCTCGTCGTCACCGTCATCATCTTCTTCTTCGTCATTATCATCATTAGCATCATCAGTTGATATTATGAATATTTTTATCAATTCTGCAAACCATTATAAAACAAAAGGGATATGGTGACGCTCAATCGCTCACTTGAGTGTAATTCAAGTTTACTATTAACATTCTGAGAAAAAAAATCAATTCCTAACAAAACAGTGACTTTTCGATAGGAATGCATGGTTTGCATGGCTTTCCTTTGATTTGATATTATGACCTACTTTACGACCCAAGATGACCCAAATAAAGCAAAATTTAAACCTCGCTGAGACAAACATTCTGCCAAAATCGATGTAGGCCTAGTAAAAATTGTAAACTCTAGAATGGAGACATTTCTTCAACTTGTTGATTTAATCTTGCGAACTTGTTTTGACTAAATATTTCCTATAATAATAAACATGACCTGTATATCATTGAAACAAACATTCTCTGTTGTGTTAATAAGATTTTCTCTGATTTGAACAGGCGACCATATTTTTTTATTCAAATATGACCTATGTATCATTAAGATAGATATTCTGACAAAATAAAACTCAATCAAAAGTGTAGCCTGTAATGTGTAAACAAATATTTTCTTTGATTTGACCTGGTGACACACATTTTTGCCAAAATGACCTATATTCAATGTCACTTGATGTATAATAAATTTAAATATTTTGACAAACATTGTTAATCAAAATTGTGACTTCTAGTTAACTAGCAAGTTTTTCCCCCGCTCATTTGATCTAGTGACCTAGTTTTTGACCCACAATAATTCGGGGTTCGATGACTGTGACCTCTTGAGTGTAAATTTGATGTTTTTCTTTTATCCATATTTAAACTCATCAAATATATTATAAATATGAACATTGTGACAAATTAATGAAAATCCCATGAAAACCATAAACCTCTAAAATTTTAACAACTCAAAATGTAAACGCCAATACATTGACAAAACAAATGTTAATTGTTCACGCACAGGTGAAATTAAAGTAACATTAAAAAAAAGAAGCAAAAAAAAAAAAAAAAAAAAAAAAAAAAAAAAAAAAAACACAAAAAAAACAAGAAAAAAAACACGAATATTAAGATCGTTATTTAGCAACAGTTTAATTACTTTTTGCAGTGCGAATATGTACAACTCCACATGCTTTACATAAGTAGAAATTTAAGATGTACAAATGATTTTGTTCGTATAAAGTGCTTAATACAAGGATCTGATAGAATACCGCAACGCCCTTTATATAAAAATATCTGAGCTACATCATGTAAAATGAAATCTTTGTTTAACAGTATAGAGAAAGAAGAACACATGAAAGAAAAAATGCATCATAATAACAAACTCTAAGATAATGCATTATTAACTAAATATATGTGATATTTACGTCTTCTCGTGTATTTTAGACTGAATACTGCTAAAATCATGTTAAGAAAGTATCCGGGTAATATGATTGCGTGTGTGTGCGTGTGTGTGTTAATGTGTGCGTGCTTTGGTGCGCGCGCGTGTGTGTGATTCAAGCCACTCCGACAAATTGTCGCATATGGCGAATTTCTAGCTTAACTGGTCGATGATGACGTCAGGTGCCTATCGTGAGTCTGACATGAGCGGGCTCAGGAGTAGAACACCCGACCTTCTCTAAGCTAGAAGAAAGTATCCAGGTCCCTAACTGGATTCAAATACACAGCGATTAGGGGCCAGTTGTTTGATTTGTCCGTATGTCACTCAAGCTAAATTTTGGAGTCTCTTAAAGTGTCCACGGGAGCATAAACTTGAGGTGAGTGGCGACTCAAGATGTAACCATGAACAGTTATTATGGCTTCCAAAATCAAAGTTTCATTCAGAGAATATTAAATATCAGGAAAATGCAACAGATATTTGAGCCGACGAAAATGTCAAAATGGATCGTGCCTGAATTGATGTAATCTTTTGACTCATTGTCTGTTGAGGCAGTTACATTAATTTGGCCACGTGACATAGCATTGGTAACTTTCGCATTGAACAGCGTATTGTTTTGTTCAACGTAAGTACCTGTTGTTGTTGCTGTATCAGTAAGCGGTGTTGATATTGACGATGCAGCAGAATATACCGGAACGGTGGTTATCTTTGACGTCATCGTGCTCGGTAGAGTTTTAGAAGAGGATGATATTATCTTTGACATTAGTGGAGCTTGTGGTGATATTAAAAACGATGATGTAACTGATTTTGACAATACTGTAACTGACGATGGCATTGTACAAGAGGATGTAATTTCTTTTAACATTTTTGTGTCTTGTATTGAGATGGACGAAGACAGTGTTATTGATCGTAACGATATTTCATTTAAGGATTGCATCGTTGAAGACAATGAAATTGATTGTGATGGTAATGTAAATGAAGATGATATTGTAAAAGGTGTGGTTGAAAGTGATGATGCTGTTTCTTGTGTTGACATGGTAGATGGAAGTGTTGTTGATTGTGTCAATATTGTAACTGGTATTAGAGTATTCGATGTTGACATGGTAGATGATGGCGTTATTGATTGTGACGAGGTCGTTGCAGGTGTTGACATGGTAGATGATGGCGTTATTGATTGTGATGCGACTGTTAAAGGTGTTGACATGGTAGATGGTGGCGTTATTGATTGTGATGAAAACCGTTACAGGTAGTTGACATGGTAGATGGTGGCGTGTTAATGATTGTTGATGAGGCTGTTACAGGTGTTGACATGGTAGATGATGGCGTTATTGATTGTGACGAGGCCGTTACAGGTGTTGACATGGTAGATGATGGCGTTATTGATTGTGATGAGACCGTTACAGGTGTTGACATGATAGATGGTGGCGTTAATGATTGTGGAATGAGGCTGTTACACGGTGTTGACATGGTAGATGGTGGCGTTATTGATTGATGATGAGGCCGTTACAGGTGTTGACATGGTAGATGATGGCGTTATTGATTGTGATGAGGCCATTACAGGTGTTGACATGGTAGATGATGGCGTTATTGATTGTGATGAGGCCGTTACAGGTGTTGACATGATAGATGGTGGCGTTAATGATTGTGATGGTAATGTAAATGAAGATGATATTGTAAAAGGTTTGGTGGAAAGTGACGAGACTGTTACTTGTGTTGACATGGTAGATGGAAGTGTTGTTGATTGTGTCGATATTGTAACTGGTATTAGAGTATTCGATGTTGACATGGTAGATGATGGCGTTATTGATTGTAATGGCGTTATTGATTTTGACGAGACTGTTAAAGATGTTGACATGGTAGATGATGGAGTAATTAATTGTGACGAGAGTGTTACAGGTGTTGACATGGTAGATGGTGGCGTTATTGATGATGATGTCATTGATTGAAAAGATATTGTTTCTAATGATGATAAGGTTGAAGATGATCTTATTGGCTTCTGCGAAACTGTCACTGATGTTGATATGGAAGAAGATCGTGTTACTGATTGTGATGATACAGTTACCCGTGTTGACATTGTGGAATATGCTGTTGTAGAATTTGACAATGATGTTCGGAGTGACATTTCAGAGGACGATAGTGTTGTTGGGAATGACACAGAAACCATTGTCATTGCAGTAGTTTGTGTCATTCTAAGGCCAGTGGTAAGTAGTGATATTAAAGACGTTTTAGTAGAAGAAGAAGATGATGATAATGTTGTTGATGTAGTTGTTGATGGTGGAGATGTTGGTAAATTACATAACTGAGGCAAAATAATGCGAGTAAAATCAGATGGATTTGAATATATCATATCATTATCTTGATTATCTTGTATATTAAATTTTCCATCCAAACACATGACGAGCTTTAAAGACGATTTGTCGCTAGCTGTCAATGAAAAAAATTCCAGATCCAGGGCACTGTTGCATGTGGAAGATTACCATGGACTGTTGAGGCCATTTAAGAGTCAAGCTACTAGAGTTACTACTCTGGTAATTCAATCACATAAGCATTCCCATTTTCCGTGGTATCCACACCCACTGACACTGATTTACAACTCCGCAGGCATTTGGTCCAAAATGTGTAGATACATTTTTTACACAAACATTAATAAAGAGATAAACAAGATGACCATACTAAATTTGGTAAACTCTGAAATACACGGCGAGATCCTGGTTTGGGGTATGGCGGACAACTGCATGCCTTTCACATGTTTGGTCTCAATCTCCATTCACAGCATTAGCTTGACATTTAACTTGTGATGGTCCTACTGAGAGGTCCCGTCCCATTAAGGCACGTGACCTGTACGACACTACTATAGTGATTTCTTTCAGTAGAAGCGCTATCCTGGAATAAATCTGCGTTTTGTATTGACCCAAATTCCCCACAGTCCATCACGGTACATGTCGGTGGCGTTGAAGGTAACCACTCACCATCTATACGACATTGCATTGTGTTTTGACCGGACATCGCATAGCCTTCATTACAAGCAAATTGAATAATTGTACCTACATTGTATGTTGGCGTGTTTTGGGTGTAAGGCGGTGTATCTGTTAAGTTGTTATAAGCATTTTGGATAACTGGTGGACTTTCACACTCTCCTTTGATGCAGACCGCTCCTGAAAATGTTATATTAATATACAAACTGAGTTACCGGTTTCCGTTTGAACTTTTCATGTTTTTTTCTCTCTAATTCTGTTGAAAGTCAAGAAATATATTTTGTCCAGTCTTTCGTTTATCCAACATATACACATACCTAATAGAAACGTAATAAGAGTCTGTAATTATTTAACCAAATGGCTATTGTCTTTTAACATTATTAAACATATACGATCTAAAACTGGCCGTACTGCCTCTTTTAGTTTTTATACATTTTTTGTATGTGTATTTGATACACATTTCGCAGAGCTATACTGGAAATCAATTGATACGTCAGAAGAAATTCCTGATGAGAGATATGATATAGTTTCATTTTTTTTCAACACATGTATAATATCCTTTTGATAATATTAACATGAGTTTAGTTTATTTCTCACCTAACAAAGATGCCAGCATGACTTTACAAACATCAAGCAATGTCATCTTCTTTTGTCTTCTGTCTGTTTACGTTCTTTCTTAACCTGTAAATAATTTATAGACATTGGCCGAATAGATACCATCTGATATACGCGATATTTGCAAACCTCGGGTATGAAAATCTCAGCTAGGAATGTATGATAACTATTTTGACTTTAGTTTATTGGTAAGAGCAGAGAACAAAATAAATACATGTATATTAACATTTACAAATAAGCAAACATTTTCGATTGTTCCTCAAAAATGTTTATTATTATTATTTAGTAACATCTAGTTAACTCTCAACTTTTCGCTTGACGGGGTAGCGGGACGAAATCACGCTAATTAGCGGAGGGTGCGGGGCGACGTTTTATTTATTAAACTTGCGGGGCGACATCTTCGGCTCCCCGCTAATTAGCAACGCACCCGCCAAGCAAAAAGTCGAGAATTAACCAGATAAAATGGCGGGGCGCGGAGCGAAAACACGCTTATTTATAAAATTTATTTATTAAACTTCGCCCCGCGCCCCCGCTAATTAGCATGTTTTCGCTCTGCGACCCGCCGTTGTATTTCTTAAATCCCAGGGGCGATTTTTTTTCAAGAACAAGTACACGAGTTGAAAACCGATCTCCCGTAATTTATAGCTGGAAAACTTTCTGATATTAAATAATCAGTCCGTTTAAAGAAATAGAAGTATGTAAAGGGTGAAAATTCCAGAGAAAATAATTTAAGAAAAATATACTTACTGAAAAAATCAGCACGTTGTGTTTTAAAATATATATCCTCTATACTAGTGCCAAAGGCTAACTACTTTTTTCCCAGCTCTGTAAGGCTTAAAATTCGAGCGCACTGTACAAAATTCAAACCTGGGCAAATTCAGTAAACAAAGTTAGTAAGTTAAGAGGACGCTATCTATGTGTAGCAGTTTGACAATTTCGTCACTAATGTTTGAATTCTACGCACTTATGATAAAGTGTCGTTGATGCAAAGATTGCATGGAAAAATAAGTTAGTATATCCGTTACTTGAAAAGTATTGTCATTATAACCGGATGCTGTTGCAAGCTGCCAGACGGTTATTAAAAGTATATAAAGAGAAACTTAAAATTTTTAATATTTTTTTTCTTTTTTTTTTCTTATTCCTTTTTCCACCAACCCCGTTCCACTCCAACCTAAAAAACACGCAAATTCGTTGAATGTATATCCCCACCGAGTACTGGTTATTACTAACACAACAACTGGAGATATGTGGCTTTATCTACATGCAAAATTAAAAAAGTTACTTTATTCCTTATTTGTCATTCAATTAAAAATAGGCGTTTGCTGTTAACATGTAAGAAAACCATAAAAACTGTAGGTTTTAGATTTTGTCAAAGTGGTTGGGGTAAATTTATCCGATAATTAAAAGAAAACCAACAAAATTTACACAAGTTATTTCTATTTCTGTGTTTTTTCTGTTAAAACTTATGCAAATGTTCCTATTAAATGATATTCTTTATTGGACAAAGTTATTTTTGTCTTTCTTTGGTTTATACAGAATTTATTTTGGTTTTATTGTGTAGGAAGCTATAAAAAATATGTCTTTCTTTGGGTCAAGTAGGTGAGCTAAAATTTCAATAAATGCACATACATTCGTTAGTATACACTCAGTTATTAAATTCGGTTGATATTACTTGTTTCAATATCTTGATATTATTTATTAATTCAACAAACTCTTTAAATAGCAAACATGCACATGAATAAGGTTGTCCATTAACGCATATTATTAACTCCTTCACAATTTCATATTGAAAATATAAAACTGGCTTTAAAGCTAACTCAATGAGATAATAATTTTTGCATATAGTAAATATAAGGCTACTGTCACATCATCTCATCTATGTGTTGTGAAACAGGTATATCAATTATATCACCTGACATACATTCAGTTTTTGATGATTCAAAATAAAATAACTGTAAGTCATAATTAATTTATATCTATTTTTTATTTCAATAACAGGGCAATGATGACCGTAGATCACGAAAGGTCACAATTCTTTATAAACGTAGGTAATTGGGTGTATCAATTTTGTCATACCATATATGATTGTGAAATATTTGTGTTTTAATTGTGTTTTCCTATACAAGTCTATAAACCCAGGTGGCGCTATGAGCAAGATTCATTCAATATGTTAAATACACAAGATGATGGTACATGCTTAGTATTTATGCTCATTGCTCTGTGCATTCTGCTTTTTGAGAAGACTTTTTAAACATTTTTACTATGTAAAATCTGCTCTAAGTGATGAAAAGAGAGTTTTATGTAACTTTTAAAGAGGTCTTCTCTACTTGAAAATGTTGAATATCTAAGTTCAAGGCATTGTAGTTCTCCAAAAGAGGACTTACATGTGATTTCCTCATAAGTCTTTCAAAACTAAGTGCCCCTCGTGGCAGGCAGGCCTTTTAATCATGCTTGTGCAGTCAAAAATGGCTTTCCCTGGTATGTTACTTAGGTTTGCATTGAATTAAATCTGTCTTAAAAATCACACTCTCACACATCCCCTGTCACCTCCGGAGTGCCCCAGGGCAGCGTCTTAGGTCCTCTGCTCTTCCTCGCTTTCATCAACGACCTACCATCTAGGGTAAAGTCGAGGACTGTTTGCTGATGACTGTCTCCTCGATAGGACGATCAAGAGCCAGGATGATGCCCGTGCCTTACATGATGACATTGACAGCCTCCAAGTCTGGGAGAAGGAATGGCAAATGGAGTTCAATGCTGCCAAATGTGAGGTCATCCGAATTACCACCAAGAGGAACCCCAATATCTTCCCATACAAAACACACCAGACAACCCTCAACGTAACCAACCAGGCCAAGTATCTTGGAGTTACCATCACACCAGACCTATCTTGGAAATGCCACATCGACAACATAACGAAAAAAGCCAACTCAACACTAGCTTTCTTGCGCCGAAACATCCGGTCAAGCCCACCAGATGCCAAAGCCAAAGCCTACAACACCTACATACGGCCAAGCGTTGAGTATGCCTCCTCTGTATGGTCACCTGCTGCTGACAGCCACAACAACAACTCAGCCAGCTCACTTGTAAGAAATCTGTGTACCAGAACAGCTTCTTTCCGGCCACCATCATCCTCTGGAATCGCCTACCCATACAAGTTGTTGAGAAACCAACCTTGGAGGGGTTCAAGTCGGCGCTGATAAAACACACAACCACCAACTAGACACATTACCAGTTTTTACCAGATTTTAAAAAGATGTAAATAGACAATTTTTAACTGTAAAGAGGAAAGCAATTGGTGCGCATGTACATAGTTTTAGTTTCATCGCGATTATGCTCTATGAAGAGTGAGGCGATTACTGAAGATGATGATGATGAACTTAAGTTCCCAGAACAGAAAAATTATCATGACACATCACTTGATACTCTATAAAGATTATGAATTATTGGCATAAGACCAAGTCACTTAGTTTATATGGACTCATATAGGAATATAACAATATGAGTCTTCTTGTGTGAAACAGTTCTGAGTACCTAGACATTGGGCATGTTTCCTTTGAAGCGAACCTTTACAAATAGTTCATAAATCATAACTGTATGTGGTGAAAAAATTGATATTCCTAACATGATCTTATCTTACTTCTGTATTAAAGAGTTATGGCAATTTTTCTGCAGTGGATCTTAGGTGAGTGGTCTAGGGTTGTGTAATGGGGAACATGAAATTTGAATAATCTTTGACAGACAGTTCATACTTTATAATTCAAATCATCAGCAAGTATATGTGGGACAAGCGATACTATTGATATACTTATTTCACTCCACATAGATTAAATGATGTATCAGTCACCTTAATTTTACTTTGTATCTTTTGTAAATACCATATGTGTAGATACGTTATTCTATAAACAGTGCTAATTCAATTATACTTAATTACAATGACATGAAAGAGATAACTTTGAATCGTACGATAACAAGCCTTCAGTAAGACTATGATATCTAATGCAAAAATCATTTTTCTCATTGTGTTGACTTTAAAGCAATTTTTATCTTTTTGTAAAGAAACGCATGTTTTGTTGATTTATATTCAGTCTTCTATCGTTACAATTAACTGACAATACTAAGAATATTGAAACAAGTTATATTTTGCAAACACATTTTATTACTGACTGTATACCCATGAATGTATGTGCATTTACTGATATTTTAGCACACCATCTAGACCTGAACGAAAAAAAAAATCCATAAAAAACTTTTTAACAGTGAATATTTTCCTAAGAATTCATAGAAAGTTTAACAAAAAGCAAAGAAATAAAATTAACTTACAAACTTCGTTGTTTTGTTTTTCAATTTTCAGATAAATTTACCCCACCCACTTTGACAAAATATAAAACCTACAGATTTTATGTTTACAATAAACACATAGTGGTAATTAAATATCAAATACACTTTAAGAAAATTAAACATCAAATACACTATAAAAAAAGTAAGTAACTCTTTTGAGTTTTGTGCAAAGACCTATTAGAAACCCATGTTAGACAAATATGCAAATACATGTATTGGCTCTTTTTCTTTAATATTTTGAAAGATACTTTTTGGATAAATAGCTTAAAAAGCTTGACTTACATTGTGGTTTACATATAATTTGATTATTTTTGATATGTTTAAATACTTTTTATCGAAATATGCATAATTTGTGATACAAATTATTTGACAAAAGAGATATATATCAGTTTTGCACAAAATCGACGGCCATATTGGACGCCATCTTGAATTCTGAAGAGGTATGAACGCAGATTTTGTTCAAAATTAAAATTTTTGTAAAGGAGAAACTTAATACATAATTTAGTGAAAGTTTCAGGTCTGTTCAAAAATTAACTGAATGAGCTATTATGTACGTCAAATTTATAAGGCAGCCAATTTGAAAATGGCGTCTATCTTTGATGAGCAGATATATTTTTTGGAATCTCTTTATATTAGTCTAAAGATGATTTCCTGAAAGTTTCATGCTTGTATCACAATTTGCACTATTTTGACAGGAGATACCTTATTTTCCGCTCCACTATAAGTCTAAAATTCCTTCTGATGGTAAATGTGTGACAAGTATACATACAGTATGTATCTGTTTCTGATAGTATCAATTTCCAATATTTATTCAGAGCATTCTTTGGTTTAGCGAAACCTCTTGCGTAGGAAACTACCCGTTTTATATTCCATTGTGATCCAAATATAAACCTTCAATATTGATCATCGTATCTTGGAGATAAACACCTTCCGACACTAGAATCTTATGTTTGAATGGAAGCTATTGGGAAAATGAGTTTATTTCTGTAATATTTTCTTCTCTATCTCGCCGTTTATTTCCAAAATATATTTCCAACTGAAAATGCTGAGAAATAACCAGAGTGAATCAGAATATAACCCTTTGGTACTGATTCTACAACATCAACATTTTCTGGTTGGAGAACAATTCGTTGAAGACCAATGAATGAAGAAGACACGTAAAGATATCTTTAATTAGATACTGGTTTATTTGTCATGAGTACATGTGTATGCGTTTTATTAAAGAGATATATGTACATTTTTATGACTCTTTTAAACAATGAAAAAATAAATGCACTATTATAAGACAAAAGTTCAAGTTATATGTAATATTTACAAAAACTTTTATTTTATTTTCGCTCGCTTCTTCTTTATGATTATCCGAAGTTGCAAAGAATGACATCGAAACGAATGCCATTTCAACGTGCTTTATACCTTTATACCGTTTATACAAATGTATTATCGGATAAGAATGAAAATAATGTAACGTTTATTTTTTAATGAACACATCATCAACATATCATCAGTTAATTATGGATATACTTATCAGTTCTGCAAACCATTACAAAACAAGAGGCCGGGCTATGGTGACTCTCATTTGCTCACGTGAATCTAATTCAAGTTTACTATAGACATCCTGGAAGAAAAGTATGATCAATTCCTAAGAAAACAATGATTTTTCGATGGGATAGCATGGTTTTGCATGGCTTTCCTTTGATTTGATCTTATGACCTACTTTTTGACCCAAGATGATCAAAATTATGTCAAATTTAAACCCCACTTATGCATATCACTGAGAGGAACATTCTGCCAAAATCGATGCAGGCCTAGTAAAAATTGCAAACTTTAGAATAGGGACATTTTTCTTTTTTGATTTAATCTTGAGAGCTTGTTTTGACCGTAGATTCCCATTTTTTAAGCATAACTTGTATATCATTGAAACAAACATTGTAACAAAATCGTGACCTCTATTGTGTTAACAAGGTTTTCTCGACTTTGACCTGGCAATCATGTTTTTGATTCCAATCGGACTTGTTTTCGTGAAACTCAATCAACATTGTGGCCTGGCGATATACATTTTTACCAAATATGATCCAAGATGACTCATATTCAATACCACATGATATATAATCAAAATAAATAATTCGCCAAAATTTTTTGGAGATCAAATTAAAATTGTGATTTTTAGTATGTTAGCAAGTTTTTTGTATTTGTTTCTATATGATCTGGTGACTTAGTTTTTGAGCTAAAATAATTCTTATTCAAACATGCTGGTATATCATTGAGACATTCTGATAAAATTCGGTGAGTGTAAATTAAATGTTATTATTCTATTCGATCTGGTCCCAAGTTGATCCATATTTAAAAATTCTCATCAAAGATAAATTATAAAATTGGTATGAACATCCTGACAAAGTTTAATGAAAACCCCGTGAAACCATGACACCTTAAGTGTTAACAACCCAAAATGTAAACGCCATGCATATCATTGACCAGTTTTCATAGTTAGCTTGAGCTATTGCTTAATCATAGTAACAGTTAAAAACAAAATCGAAAATTAAGATCATTATTTAGCAACAGTTTAATTACCTTTTGCTGTGCGAATAAGTACAACTCCGCATGCTTTACTTAAGTAGAAATTTAAGATGGACAAATGATTTGTTTATGTATTAACTGCAACGCCCTTTGTATAAAAATATATCATGTAAAATGAAATCTTAGTTTAACAGTATAAAAATAAATAGACGAGTAGAAAGAAAGAACAAATGAAAGATAGAAAGAAATGGTAATGATAGTAAACTCAAAGATAATGCGTTATTAACTAAATATGTGATATGTTTTGTCGAGTATTTCAGACTCAATACATGTACTGCTAAAATCATGTTAAAAGAATATACATTTGTTGCCATGTACATGAAAGTATCGGGGCTATATGATTTTTTGTATGGTGTTGTCATTCCGACATATGGTCTGATATGGCGACCTTCTAGCTTATCTGGTGGATGATGACGTCAGGTGGCATATTGTGACTTATGAGTCAGACATGAGCAGGCACCTGAGAATAACATCTGACCTTCCGTAAGCTAAAAGAAAGTATCCAAAGTCATTAACTGAATTTGAATACAGTGCGGTTAGGGACAAGTTGTTTGATTTGTCTGTATGTGACCCAAGCTAGATTTTGGAGTCTCTTTAATTGTCCATGGGAGATTCGAGCATATACTTAGAGGTACTCAAAGTTTCAGCCAAAGGATATGAAACATCTGGAAAATGCAACAGATACTTGAGCCGAGGAAAAAGTCAAAATGGATTGTGCCTGAATTAATGGAATCTTCTTTTGACACATTGTCTGTTGAGGCAGTTACGTAAATTTGGCCACGTGACGTAGAATCGGTATCTTTCGCATTGTACAGCGTACTGTTTTGTACACCATAAGTACCTGTTGTTGTTTCATCAGTAAGCGGGGTTGGCATTGACGAAGAAGCAGAATATACCGGAACGGTGGTTAACTTTGACGTCATCGTGCTCAAAAGAGATGTAGAAGAGGATGATATTATCTTTGATACTAGTGGAACTTGTGGTGATATTATAGACGAGAATGTAACTGATTTTGACAATACTGTAACTGTCGATGGCATTGAACAAGAGGATGTAATTTCTTTTAACATTTTTGTGTCTTGTATTGAGATTGACGATGACGGTGATATTGACCCTGACGATATTTCCTTTAATGATGGCATCGTTGAAATTGATTTTGATGGTAATGTAAATAAAGATGATATTGTAAAAGGGTTGGTTGAAAGTGACGAGACTGTTACTTGTGTTGACATGGTAGATGGAAGTGTTGTTGATTGTGTCGATATAGTAACTGATGTTACTGTTACTGATGTGAACATGGCTGACGATGTCGTTATTGATTGTGATGAGACAGTTACAGGTGTTGGCATGGTAGCTGGTGGCGTTATTGATCGTGACGAGGCCGTTACAGGTGTTGACATGGTAGATGATGGCGTTATTGATTGTGACGAGGCCGTTTCAGATGTTGACATGGTAGATGATGGCGTTATTGATTGTGACGAGGCCGTTTCAAGATGTTGACAGGGTAGATGATGGCGTTATTGATTGTGATGAGACTGTTACAGGTGTTGACATGGTAGATGATGGCATTGTTGATTGTGATGGCGTTATTGATTGTGACGAGGCCGTTACATGTGTTGACATGGTAGATGATGGCGTTATTGATTGTGATGAGACTGTTACAGGTGTTGACATGGTAGATGATGGTGTTGTTGATTGTGATGGCGTTATTGATTGTGACGAGGCCGTTTCAGGTGTTGACATGGTAGATGATGGCGTTATTGATTGTGATGAGACTGTTACAGGTGTTGACATGGTAGATGATGGCATTGTTGATTGTGATGGCGTTATTGATTGTGACGAGGCCGTTACAGATGTTGACATGGTAGATGATTGCGTTATTGATTGTGATGAGACTGTTAAGGTTGTTGACATGGTAGATGATGGCGTTATTGATTTTGATGAGGCTGTTACAGGTGATGAAATGGTAGATAATGGCATTATTGATTGTGATGAAGCTGTTACAGGTGAAGAAATGGTAGATGATGGCGTTATTGATTGTGATGAGGCTGTAACAGGTGTTGACATGGTAGATGACAGCATTATCGATTGTGGTGAGACTGTTACTTGTGACGACATGGAAGAATGTAGTGTTTTTGATTGTGATGATTTTGTTTCTGGTTTTGACCAGATGTTTGATGTTGTTGATGTCGTTGTTGATGGTTGAGATGATAATGATGATAATGACACTAATGGTGGTAAATTACATAACTGAGGCAAAATAATGCGAGTAAAATCAGATGGATTTGAATATATTATATCATTATCTTGATCATCTTGTATGTTAAATTTTCCATCCAAACACATGACGAGCTTTAAAGACGATTTGTCGCTAGTGTCATGACAAGTCCAATCCAGCATCGTTGCATGTGGAAGATTACCATGACCGTTGAGGCCATTTAGAGTCAAGCTACTAGAGTTATACTCTGGTAATATACAATCGCATAAGCATCCCATTTCCGTGGTATCCCACTGACCTGATATACACTCCGCAGCATTTGGTCCAAAATGTGTAGCTACATTTTCTTTACAATTAATAAAGAGATAAACACCAAAAGTTTGTAACTCTGAAATACACGGCGAGTCTGTATTTGGGTATGGTGGACACGGCACGTCTTCACATGTTGGTCTCAATCCCCATTCACCATTAGCTTGACATTTAACCTGTGATGGTCCAATGGGAGTCGTCCCATCAAGGCACGTGACCTCTACGACACTACCATAGTGATTTCTTTCAATATAAGAGTTATCCTGGAATAAATCTGCGTCTTGTATTGACCCGAATTCCCCACAATCCTTTGCGGTACATATCGGAGGCGTTGAAGGCAACCACTCGCCATCTATGCGACATAACATTTTGTTTTGCCCGGACATCGCATAGCCTTCGTTGCAAGCAAATTGAATAATTGTACCAACTTCGTATGTTGGGGTGTTCTCTACTCGTCCGTTTTCCGGTGTTTCAACATGCGAACAATAAATTTGTTCACACCGGAAGTTTCCGTCTGTCCATGTTTTTCCGGTGCAAGTGTAAAAGCGACTGGTTCCCACTGGATTATATCCGAGTTCACAATCATAGCGTATAGTGGTATCTTGTGGGTAAGGCGAGGTACCAGTAACGTTGTTAGTAGCATTCGGAATACTTGGTGGATCCCCGCAATCTGCTTTGGTGACTGATATCGCTATGAGGTAAGAAAAAAAATATTTTAGTAAGACATACAATGACCAAGCAAATAAAAAAATCATAATATAGGTTGTTTTTATCTTCCAAATACTGTAATATGAAAGTTAACATATTTCAAGTATTGCTGTTTGCACGAGGTCCATATGTAAAAAGCGAATGAATCACCATTACCATGTTACATAATTAAACTGGATTTGAATTTGGACCTTCTCGTTGCAAATGCGAGGGGTTATTGTATTGCAAAGTCAAATTCTGTGCCAATGCTTCGTCAATTACAAAATGTACAAGAAAATTTGATTAAAAAATACAAGATGCTTTTATCAGTCCCCCTCCCCATCCCCGAACTAATTGGTTTTGTAAGAAATGCATTCAGTAATGCAACAAGACCCATTTCTTTTAAAAGACTGCAGATGAATGTACAAATGCTGTGATATCACTCAACGGAAATTATGGGATTTAGCCTATATACGGTTATGAACTGCTTCCGGTTCTATGATTTGATAATTAAAATACGATTTAGCTCATTAATGATTATACGTATATAACAAAAAAAACAACAAAAAACAAACAAACAAACAAACAAAACCGGCGCATTACTTACCGACCACGCTGAACAGCATTGCTGCAAAAAGACAACTGGACGACTTCATACTTTACGACTGCCTTCACTTTTATCTGAAATGGGATAAAGTACGTAACAAAGGTATAAGCAGCTCTGAAAAGTGAAAACAATCCGTCCAGACCCACCTCTAGCGAGAGATTTATTGGCGCTTGTTGTTGATCGAATTCCGCCATCTTGTTTTAATATAGCAAAGTTATCGGAGATTTTTACTACTTTACGTTTGGATGCATTTCCGAAAATAATTCACTTTTTCCTCATGTTTATGTTTTTTTCTTCACATTTTTACAATTTGTTTTCCGATCCTTCTCTTGATTCTCGTAACGAATTCATGACAACCTGGCAGCGTGCTTATAGCCGTATCGGTAAATTTTCCATTGTCAAACACGTCAGAAAATACAAAATATAGATTTAATCTAAAACATAACGTGCAATAATTGCTTATTTTAGTTTTAGAAAAACTAATAATTTCGAAAAATAAAAAGGCTTATTCTATCAATCAATTAAATTGAACTAAAGAAATTTAACCGAATTACCGTCTTGCAACAGGCTTAAAATACTTTTCATAATAATAATAATAATAATAATAATAATAAAAATAATAATAATAATAATAATTATAATAATAATACGACTTTTATTAAACGAGAGAACTCATTTGAACATTACATTAATTAATCTTCCATGAGGCCTCCAACCAAGAATAATAACCGGTTGTATTAATAGACATGCGATTCAAATCACACCAATTGTTACCATTTAAAAGATCAGGGAGAGAGATTCAACTACTCTGTTTAAGAGATACACCAGAAGTTGAAAGGGTGGTACATTGTGTATCATCAGCAAAAAAATCCAATGTCTGTTGTTTTTTGGTGTTTTTTCAAAAGACAAAAATAGGTCATTGATATAGATTAAAAATAGTATAGGATCTGGCACTGAACCCTGACGAACACCAGTAGTCTTCATATAAACAGAATATGTAATTTTATTGGGTTCTGCTATCTAAATAGGAGATTTCATGAAGGATCAAAATTATACACTCTTGGCCTTTCAATAATAATGAAGTGATCCACATAATCAAAAGCTTTAGAGAGATCGATGGAAATTGAACCAAATATTTCATGTTTGTCAATAGCTGTAATCTAATTATCAACAATTTATATCAGTGCAGTTTGACATGAATGACTGGCGTTGATATAGAGTTTGATTTCTCTCAAGGTATTGCATTTTATGTTAAGACGTTCAATAATAATTGATATTATGGGTAGTATGGAAATCGGACTATAAACTTTTTGGTCACTTTAAGAATCCCTTTTATGTAAAATATTTGAAAATGAATTGTTAAGAATGTTATTGTTAAATATATTGGTAAGTACGGGAGCAAACCTGTGGGGCTGATATCTTAGAAACCTGGCACTGAGGCCATCTGAGCCACATGACTTTGTAATATCTAGCGATTTTAATTGGTTATGTATTTTGAAAGGGGGTACATACTGAAGCTTAGATGCATGTAATTCAACAAGCTTAGGTTTTATAACCATTCTAATTAATGGCATGATGGTATTCATGTACTTTTTGCCAATTAAGAGTTGAATAAATTTGCAGTGATAAAGGTGTCAGTATCTGCTTGGTTGCCACAGCTATCATCATCATCAATAAAAGTTGCTTGAACCTTGGATTTGTAACCAGATAATTAATTTAGATCAGTCCACAATTTCTTAAACAATTCTGGTCAGTAGTTTTAGGATCGATTTTTCTGTAAATGAAAAGGTGATGACGATTTTTTTTTCATTTTAATTTCTCGACAAGTCAAATATTTCTCAGCTTTATGGAAATCGGATGCATGTCTGTGACAATGTAACAATATTGCATCACCGAGTAATACATGAATTGAGAGATAACGCAGAAAGCATTCCTTTTCACCTGGATATGTTTGAAATTTGACTCTTAAGTAACATCTGGTGCAAAATATGATACATACATATAGGGTTTCTTAATCGAACAAAAATCATAATCGATCATCGAAAATAATCGAACAGCCCTTTTCGATCAATCAGCGATTATATAATCGAAATATTTACAATATCAAAGTTAATATGTACAATGTACATATTATGCTTTAATATTTATAATAATTCTATTAATATTCTATATTTTGCGTAACTATCACTTAATCAACTGAAATAAACTAGTTTAAAGATATACCATGCTCATCCTTGAGTAAAATATTTTAAACAAATAAATAATTAAACTCATTATAATTTATGAAATAATCATGTCTCAATTCCAATAAAAGGATGAATAAACAATGTATGGGAACAAGTTAAGTTGGTCCTTTCTTAACAAAACTACCAGTTTTTTTTAATGACACCATATATTGATATTGTAACCACCTTTAGTGTGAAGAATAATTTTATACATAAACATATCTTCTTTGTGTGAAGTCAAAACATGTTTATTTTAGATTTACAAATAGACTGTGTAGCAATTCTAAATATTTTCTAATCATAGTATATCTTTACACTAGAATGCCTCACACACGGTGGAGAATCACGCCGTTCGTTACCCAAACAAACAAGATGGCGGATGCAGCCGAAAAGTAAGTTTTTCCCTTTTTGCTCTGAAATTCGTAATGTTCTAGTGTAAAGGTACAAATAGCAAATTCTCCACAATTTTCCGGGCACACAGGATTTTATTTCATAATGTTCGTCCCGTACTTCATCTGAAATGCGCGTCACTAGATTCGAAGCGAGAGAATTTTCCACCGATTTGATCGTGGTAACGTACGGCTTCTTCTCTAAAATTCACTGTTTTGTTTACATATGTGTAGATTAACTGAAACCACTGACTTTAAAAAGTTGTAATATGTCGTCATCTAAGCATTCATGCCCATTCTGACTAGATTAACTGGAAATATTCTGGAAATGATAACGTATTGCGCACAAATATCAATGATAACGGTTATATCAGTTAGTTTTGAATAAAAAGTAATGTTTCTTGCTCGGGTCTTTCCAGGCATAAGAGGATGTGTAGAACCAAACTAGAAATGTGTCCAAAGGACACGGATGCCCCCACTGACAACATATATATGGTATAAAGTGAAAAATCAACAAAGGGCCATAATTCTGTTAAATTTGGTCGCAGCGAAAATTCCTTCCTTTACTACCATCACACATTAAGGTTGTTCATCCCTGGAAGTTTAAGCAAAATCTGCCATCCGGTTTAAGAGGAGTTGCGTTCACAAAATTTCTAAATGGTATATAGTGAAAAAATCAACAAAGGGCCATAATTCTGTTAAATTTGGTCGCAGCAAAAATTCCTTCCTTAACTACCATCTACACATTAAGGTTGTTCATCCCTGGAAGTTTAAGCAAAATCTGCCATCCGGTTTAAGAGGAGTTGCGTTCACAAAATTTCTATATGGTATATAGTGAAAAAATCAACAAAGGGCCATAATTCTGTTAAATTTGGTCGCAGCGAAAATTCCTTCCTTAACTACCATCTACACATTAAGGTTGTTCATCCCTGGAAGTTTAAGCAAAATCTGCCATCCGGTTTAAGAGGAGTTGCGTTCACAAAATTTCTATATGGTATATAGTGAAAAAATCAACAAAGGGCCATAATTCTGTTAAATTTGGTCGCAGCAAAAATTCCTTCCTTTACTACCATCTACACATTAAGGTTGTTCATCCCTGGAAGTTTAAGCAAAATCTGCCATCCGGTTTAAGAGGCGTTGCGTTCACAAGATTTCGGGACGGACGGACGGACGTTCCAATAGTTTGGCTTTAGGGGCTATTTTCTTTGTTATTTTCTTTGTTTTCTTAAGGGCTACTAGCCCCTAAACCCTTTGATCACGGAATGAACCTATTGTTCTCTTTTGTTCTCTTTTCTGTTATATAGCCCCTAAACCCAAAATGTTTGCTCGGACGGACGGACGTACGGACGGACGGACAAGTGCAACGCTACATGCCCCCCACTTTGTCGGGGCATAAAAAAGAAACTGAATATTATTTAGTGTTTGCATAATAATATCTGTCCGGATAGAAATATCTAAATAAATCCGATGCGTCATCACGATTGATATGTTTTCTTGCATATCATACTCGATTTAAAGCAGCCATCCCACTTTTTGTGGTCAAATTACCAAGTTTCAAATATCTATGTATGTGTTAGTGTTCATCCGTGCTGTTCTACAGAAATTAGAAACTTCGACAGGAGCGATAGCGATCGGAGAATGTTTCTAATTTCTGTAGAACAGCTACGGATGAATACTTACATACTTAGTGTCAAGCTTTATTTGGCTTCATAAATATTTACTTTATGACGTCGCTATACCTATTTTAACGAGCGCGGCTCTATGAAGCACTATGAAAAATAGAAGGCTACTATGAACGGACTAAGAAGAACAAAAGTCGATACTATATCAAATTCCGTTTATAGTTGTCCTCTATTTGTTATAGTGCTTCATAGAACCGCGTTTGTAATAATAGTCATTTTCATAAATTTGCAAATGCGCTTTCGTGGGCGTTTTTGAATATTAATTAAGTAAAAAATGACGTCAAAAGGCCAACCTATATTAATTTTGTATTTATGGATAAAGGATATATGTAAATCTACGTGTTGGCGAAAAAGATACTGCACGTGTTAAAGTAAAAACTAAGACAAAACGTGTTGGCGAAAAAGATACTGCACGTGTTAAAGTAAAAACTAAGTATATGTTAGTGTTCATCCGAGCTGTTCTACAGAAATTAGAAACTTCGACGGGAGCGATAGCGACAGGAGAATGTTTCTAATTTCTGTAGAACAGCTAAGGATGAATACTAACATACTTAGTGTCAAGCTTTATTTGGCCTCATTATTATTTACTTTATTACGTCACTATGCGGTTTTATGAAGTACTATGAAAAATAGAAGTCGACTATGAACGAAATTCGATATAGTATCGGTTTTTGTTCTTCTATGAAAATTAACGCACAGAATTTTGAAGAAATGCAGCGTTTTCATTGGATGACAAATAAAGCTGGACACTAAGAAAAAATGTCAATTCATATATTTTTATTACTAATGTAGGAAAAAGTCTAAGTGTCTAATTTCTAT